TGGGGAGAGAATGCAGTGTGCATTTCCTGGTGTTGGAATGCAGTGCTGAGGGCTGGGTGCTGCTTTGTGGTAAAGCTGACTGCCTGGACTCTGCTGGCCATATTCCTTGTTTTCAGCTTCTAAACTACAACAAAAAGCAGCACATCGAGCATGTCCCTAATCTTCCCCATTAGTACAAGTATTATCATTACCAAAGGCATGCTACGCAAGTACCAGTGGAGCTGAAGGTGATCCATGTGGCTGAGGAAGAGAGGAGGGTTATGACATAATCTATCTCCTCACAGAGGCGGGTGACTTGTTGAAAAAGCTCACAAATCACCACTTTAAGTGACTGCTAGGTTTCTATTCCCAGCTCCTCCCCGCTCCACAGCCCAGGGTGAGATCCATGGTGTTGGTGACAAATTTCTGAGTCACAGCGTGCTGACCGCTTCAGAAGTTGGAGGGATTAGGGTTAAAATTAGCTGTGTTGGAGATTCTTGGTGCTGAAAAGGCACACCTGAGGAGAACATCAACTGACCAACATTTCTTGCCAGATCCTTTGATACTTTTGCTGGTTATCCCCATTTTAAATCAAAGCTATTGAATTGTTCTCCAAAGTCTGAATTTTTTTGTGTGTCACATGAGAAGGAAAACTCAAGCCCTTTTTTTGGAGGAGGACTCAGTAATGACTGGATCATGTAAGTGATACTTAGACTTTCCCAGCAACTTTCCAATATTATTTTCATATTAAATCAGTAAGCATATTCCAAAGAGAAGATTTGGAAAATAAAAATAAAGAAGATAAAGCAGGTGATGGAATGCATTTTGACCCCCCCCCAAAAAAAGGAAAGCTTTCTTTTTTTTTATTTTCTTTCTCTAGAACTGGGAGTTACAGATGATTTGGAATTGTTCCAGGAAACTTTTATGTTAATATCTCTTGCCATCTGATGGGCAGTAAGGTATATCCAAAATCTCTAAGGAGACTGTAATACAGGTGCTCCAAGAAATTCTTTGCAGCTCCTGCCTTCCCATGACTGGGACAGGTCACTCTTCAGTGGGTAAAACCTGGCTGGATGTCCTAGCACAGAGTGGTTGTGGACAGTGCCACATCCAGCTGGGGACTGTCACCAGGGGTGTTCTCCAGGGATCGGTGTTGGAACCAGCCCTGTTTGGTGCTTTTATTGATGACCTAGATGAGGGGATGGAGTGCACACACAGTAAGGACAAAGATAACACCCAGCTGGGTGGGAGTGTTGATCTGCTGGAGGGCAGGAAGACCCTGCAGAGGGATCTGGACAGGCTGGAGAGATGGGCCAAGGCCAATGGTGTGAGATTCAACAAGGCCAGGTTCTGGATGCTGTCCTTGGAGCATCTGTGGACAACCATCTGTGGAGCACTGCAGGCTGGGGACAGAATGGCTGGGCAGAAAAAAGGACCTGGGGGTAATGGCTGAGAGTGACTGAACATGAGCCAGCTCTGCCCAGGGGGCCAAGAAGGCCAATGGCACCTGGGCTGCACAGAAATATTGTCCCCAGCAGGCCAATGGCACAGAAATATTGTCCCCAGCAGGAGCAGGGCAGTGGCTGTCCCCATGTGCTGGGCACTGGTGAGGCCACACCTCGAGTGCCGTGTCCAGGTCTGGGCCCCTCAGTTCTGGAAGGACACTGAGGGCCTGGAGTGGATCCAGAGAAGGGAAACAGAGCTGGGAGGGTCTAGAGGGTAAAAAGTCCTGTGAGAAGCAGTTGAGTGAGCTGGGGATGTTCAGCCTGGAGCAAAGGAGGCTCAGGAGTGACTTTATCACTTTCTAGAACTCCCTGACAGGAGGGTGGAGCCAGGTGGGGATCGACCTCTCCTCCCAGGCAGCCATGACAGGATGAGAGAAATGGCTGAAGTTGTACCATGAGAGGTGCAGATTGGATGCTAGGAAAAATTTCATCACAAAAAGGGTTGTAAAACATGGGAGCAGACTGCCCAGGGAAATGGTGGAGACACCATTGCTGGAAGAGTTTAAAAAATGTGTAGATGTGGTACTTGAGGACATGGTTTTATGGTGAAAATGGTGGTGGTGATGCTTGGACTTGATAATCTTAAAACTCTTTTCCAGTCTTAAGAATTCTACAATTCCTGTAAGCAAAGTACTTATGGCATGCAGTTGATTTTTTATCTGCAGTGGTACTGCCATCAGCATATTTTTAGCTACCTTGCCTTAACATATCTCTCCTTCTACTTTGTTATCATAAACTTTTTAACATGTTTTGTGCAATCTCTCTCATTCTTTCATTGGAAGAGGCATAGTTAACATATTTGGTTTACAATTTGTCTAGCCCAGGTAACAATTTTTGGTCTCTAATGCTGGATCTTCTGAAGTAACAACTTCATAGGAAATCCTGCAAATTCACCCTTTTAGAACTGTGTGACCACATGACCAGTGTTCATTTATTGTTTGGGAGTTCTTAGAGCAAGCTGTGGTCTCATGTCTTTTGTGCCGTGGGTCCTGTATTTCATTTCTGCTGATACATGGGACATCCTGCTCAGTTTCCTATCAGTCCTGGCTCTCACAACTGCAGAATGCTCCCCAACCATCCACAGAACAGATGGCCTTGGTTCGTGTTACATCTTGTCTTTATACATGCCACAAAGAATTACTTTGGGGCACGAGGCTCAAACAACTGCTCAATCAGACACTTTTATTTAGCAAGTCATTTTTCTGTCTACTGTACCTTCCTGTGCTTATCTGAGGCCTTTCTGGCTGACCTCACACCTGCATATTTAGAGCCATTTCTCTGAGGTCTTGATCCCTAAAACTTGGTCAAAAACTTGTGACAAAAGTAAATTTTGAGTAGAGTTAACACATTCATCTTTTGATGGTGAGGGCTGGTATGTGAGGTGTGGAGCGAGCACCTGCACATTCTGTTTTCAGCGTTCCTGTTGGGCCCTTAAACAAGCACAAAAGACCAAGATTATTGAATTTAGAGGTGATTCTAGTTAATGATTCTAGCCTTGCAGCTATGCTAAAGGACATGGTTAAAACATAAGAGCCAGATGCACGGGAAAAGTAATATGGAATGCAATAATGGAATGCATTCAGTGCTGACTTGCTCAAAGTTATACATTTAAGCAGAAACAAAGAATAAAAGCAGAATGAAGAATGGGCTGGCAGCTAAATAAAAGCATTTTGAAAGGATCTGCAAGTTATAGGTCCTAGGCTGAAAATATATGAATTTCACTGTATGTTTAATATGGAAATAAATATGGCCCAGGAGTCTGTGAAAAGGTTTCACCACTCAAGCCAGTTTCAGCTAGAGCCCTATGTCTCCTCTTAAATTTTTAATTTCAGAAGAAGTTGCAAAATAGTTGGTGAAGAGGAACCAAAAGAAAGCAACAAAACAAATATTGAAAAATTAATTTCTGAGGAAAAGACAGAAAAACTTGTATTTTATTTCACAGCATGAAGAGGGGCCTGCTAATTAGAGATGTAGACATAATCTTCAAATATGTAAAAAATCTCTGAAGTGAATGGAAGGACCTATTTTTTAATTTATGGTGGTATGATAATCATGAAGTTGAAGAGATGATTCAGATTAAGCATGAAGAAATATGCTCTCATGATGGGTAGGGAAGAAGTAGATGGAGAAGCTGTGAGTTCCATCCCTGGGGGTCTTTAGAAGAAGACAAAACAAGAGTATTGCAAATATTCACTGGCCCTAGGACAGAATAGTGAACCAGAAGATCTCTTCAGACATCTTTCAGCCCCTGTTTGTTGGTGCCATTGTGATCCTCTCAATTTCTTTCAAAATAATCAGAGACAAGGGTGCTCATTTTCTCTCAGCTTACAAAGGTGCCACACTTGTATCTATTGCCACACTTATATCTAGTTCAGCACTTTATGGCTTGAAAAGTGTCTTTTGATTGGATAAAAATTTGGTTTCTTGATTTAACTCAAATCAAATAGCACCATGTTTATTTTCAGCATTTGTTTTAGGTTTGGGCCTGTTGGCCTCAGTATAGATTAAGAAGCTATAAATATATTTAATTTTTTAAAAAAAAATCTGTTCACAAATGTTGAGTTGAAAAAGAAAGGGCATCTGGGGAAGGAGGATTATAATTCTATTGGTGCCATTGTGCAAGTAACTATAAATGAGCAGTCATCTGCAGTGGAAGGGAGCTCCTTGGATTCCTGTGTGAGCTGAAAATCCAGGGCGGGTGTTGTGTTCCCTGGCAGAAATGCAGTGCCTGTAGTGGAGCTGGGAAATCAACTTCTGGGGGCTCAGGTTACTTTTGATGCCCTGAGCAAGCAGCTCCTTTTCCCACAATGTTTCAGTGTGCAGGATGAACTGAGGAGACTCTTCTAAACTTAAAAGAAATCCACAGATATTTTTTTAATGGTGGTGTTTCTATGTGAAGTATTAAAATTAATAGGAAATGGGACATAATAGTTAAGGACAGGCCATATTTTAAAAGGTTTTGCTCCCTAGAGCCTTTTGGAAGTCCCTAAGTAATTGGGTGGCTAAAGTAGCTCCTGATAAGAATTTGATCCTTTAAATAAATTTTTAGTTGCTAACAAAAAACTTGTAATTTTCTTTCAGTAATTTCTAGGAATAATACGCCTATAGCAATTTTTACTATAAAGTAAAATATAAAAGTAAAGTAAATACAAGATTCATTACTGTGAAGAATAGATATTTCAAATTAAAAGGGTTTTGTTTTAGTAAAATGGTATTTTCCATTGAAATTATAATTTTCCAGGGAATATCAGTCTATTCATTTACCACTCTTGAATGCTGGAAATGAGAGAGTATTCAGAATACAGCTTAAAAAAGGTACATTCTTAATGTACATTATTTTTAATGTCCAGTATTTACAGGCTTAATACATATGAAATAAACACTTCTGGTCTTTACACACATTTTTTTCATATTTTTTGTCTAGTAAGAACTGCTTAATATACAAAACTTTTATTAACTGTTGCTTGAAACTTTAACTGTAAAAATTCTCACAGCACCTTTTTTTTCCCCTCCCAGTCACAGGTGAACCATCATTCATCCAATAATGAAACTTATCAAGAAAGGTTGGCACGATTAGAAGGTGATAAAGAGTCCCTCATCCTGCAGGTATGTCCAAAAGAGAGAAGAATTTTGTCTGCATAGTTGATATCCAGTGCATATAAGCTGAAGTGGCAGAGTATTTTCTGTTAAACAAATGTTAGCAGCTCACCAAATGTAGCTGATATTTAACCAGGAATTAATTTGTAATCCCTCTAAATGATTCCATGTTGGGGTAAATTGTTAGAGGAGAGGGGTGTAACAGTAGTAAAAGTGGAGGGGAGTGGCAAAGGGATTAAAATAATTCTGTCCCAGGCTGCGGCTGGGATGATGGTTCTCATTCTAGGCTTGCTAGGTTGTGCCAATTTTCTAGGTTCTGTATGCCACCATTTTTTTAAGTGAACCAGAAGATCATTAAAAGGTAGGTAGATGGAATTGGTATTTTTTCCTGTTTATATGCTGTACCAAAATTGTTTACAGCTTCTAAAAGCTTAAGGGGGAGGGAAACAGGGATAGAGAAAATTTGACAGTAAAATGCATGCCTAAGCTCTTCCAGGTTTCCTGTTTCTCAGTTTACCAAGCCTTTTTTCAAACAGATCCATACAGTGTCCCATGTAAGTTCTCCTCCTGGAGAAAACACATGTTGCACAACTTAAAAAAAATTATTTTTCTGTGTATTTTTGCTGGTACTAAACTGTATATTCCACGCTTTTTAAAAACCTGAAGCTGGAGAGAATTTAAATGGTCTTTGCATATCTTTTCCCTTCATGCTTTCAAATGCATATTTTAAGCACATATATTTATATCAAACAAAGTTGAAGTTTGTTGGGTAGGTGTTCTCCCTGCTTTCAGTCACAAGTTTCTGTAAACATGTCTTGTCCTGTATGTTCTGCTCACACTTGTGTTCATTTACTGAGCAGAAACCTCACTGCTGTTGTTAAATAAACAATAAATGCTTTGAGACACAAGCTTTGGATTGGTTGGATTGGTTTTGTTTTGTTTTATTTTACATTACTGTTAAACTAAATTGCTATTACCAAATTTAGGAAAAAACCCCCCACCTGACTGAAAAACAATCTTCTGGTTGGAATTTAAGTGTGTGCTACAAATTCCCTTTACAACTGATATTTATTAGAACACCTTTTATATTTATTTAGAACATCATTTATTAATCAAGTGGCTGTTAACACCAAAAAATTGATTCCATTAGTAAAAGCAAGCAGCTTCTCACACTGCGCATTCATGTTTTGAATGCCTGAGCAGCTCATGAGTGGAGGGACAATGAGGGGGCCACATCCAGGTGTTCCATCTAGAGCTGAGAGTGGGACTGGTGCACCTGTGAGGGTCTCCTTTGTTCCCCACATTTCTGTGCAGTCCTGTGATCTGCGCATCAGCTTTTGTGGGTCTGACAGGCCCAACGCTGATAGGTCCCTGCAGACTGTCCCAGGATGTGCTTTTCTTCTCTTTGCCCTGCAGATTTTCAGGAAACATTTCTTTATCCACACAAACAGGTACCCAGGGAAGTAGCCAGCCAAATGCACAAAGCACAGGGGTTTATGACACCTTTTGGGACCTGCCTAGAGTTTTTCTTAGAAGGAATAGAGGAAAATCAGAACTAGAAAATGTCTCTCTTGAATTTTACTCCCATCACTTCCACCCCCCATCAAACCCAAAGGCTTAGTCAATATTTGTGCATTTTCCTTTCCCACTGCGCAGCATTGCTGTGGGACTGCAACAACCCCAGGCAAATAAAACAGACTAAAACCTCAGTCTGGAAGGTGAGCATCAACAACAACAAAGCTGCCAAGGTGGAGCTGGGTTTGGGACCTGGTTTACACCAGCTCTTCTGTCCAGGCAGTCAAATATGAGGAGCACAGGCAAGCCCCAAGCTGAGGTTCCATGGCCTGAGGGACTGTGCTGGTGCAGACCTGGCTGCTGGGTGTGACCTTTGGCAGGAAGGATGAGAAGGGAAAGGGAACAGAGCAGTTCTGTTCTGTGACTCATGCTGAATTGCACCAGGGACTGGCCCATAGTTGTGATCTGGGGGGAATATGAGGCTGGGGAGCACTCCAGCCTGGTTTCAGACTTTTAAACCTTCCTAATGCTCCATTTTTAGCTAAGTGCTCAATGCCCCTCACTTTTACAGAAAATATATTGCCTGCAGGCTGAGTCTTGCAGGTGTTGCAAGACTCCTAAGGCAAGATGTAATTGCCAGCTTAGCATAAACTGGGATTTTGTTCTGGGTGCGGCCTAGGGGTTCCTTGAAGAGCCTGGCAGATGTGATCCTGGACAGAGGGGAAAATACGAGGTCCAAGTGGCTGATGTGCCTCTCAGCCCAGCTGCTGGAACACACAACACATACTTCCAAAACTGCTAATCTTTCACTAAATTCCTTTGCAGGTCACATTTAACATCCAGAGCTTTATTTCCTTGTTACAATGGTATTTAAACCTAACCTGAAGCTCTAAATAAAGCTGGTTTTCTTCCTGTGGAATTTGCATCCCACTGAAGCAGAGAATTCAGTTTGTCTCTTCATGCCTTCTGACCTCACATGGGGATTTTTGTGTATCATCCTTCATTTAATGGGAACAAAACAAAGTAGACAAGGAACAGATTTCCTTGGAGGGAGTTCTCCTGCCCCAGCTTGGATGTGTCCCCATGCCATCTGCCTCCACCCACACCTTCCTATCACCTCTCATCCTGAGTTCAGCTCTAAGCTACAGACTCTAAGCTACAGACAACTACTTTAATGGGGAAAAAAATAGTCTTTTCCTTTTCTTTCTTTTTTTCCGTGATTTTATTCCCAGGCATGCTTGGGATTGTGTCAGCAGGTAAAAGAAAGACAGACATCTCCCTTTGCAGCTTCCCTGAAGTGAACTCAATTGTTTATTGGGTTTTAGACATGCTGTGTAGGGGATATATCTTAAAAGTTTCACTTCCACACACTGTACATTTTTGTTTTGTTTTATTTAATAAAGGTGTTGCAGGGTCAACAAGTGAGAGCATATGTCAATATGTGAGAGCATATATAAGTTTTTGTTAATGTGTTTCCTTCAAAATGGAGATTAAACACCTTAGGCTCCTTTGTTTGTTTTAGATAATATTTTTCTCGAATTATCAAGGATTTTTTATAAATAAATAGTCACAATGAATATATAGTGTATGGTCTCCTTAACATAAAAATTATCACTGGGGTTTTTTCCATATCTTTCTAACATTATCCTGGGTGCAGTTTTTTCTGCTTTGCAAGATTTGGGTTCAGCTGCTGGGCTTTTTTTATTGCACACTTACATCTCTGTACCACCATTCCCACAGTTCTTTACCAGGATTGCTTATTGTTTCTTTTCCTGGGGTTCATTGTCTGTATCTCTCTGCTTTTTCTTTCATGTTTTGGCTTGCCAAAGCCTGGGATTCTTTGTTGGAACAGAACTTTGCCACAGTTAAAACTTTCCTTTCACTCATTGCATTCTTTATAGCTTCAGAAGTCTCTATTGATAGGTAATCCATCAGTAAAGTTTTGTTCTTGTAAGTAAAGTAATTGGTTGGGTTGGGAAGGAGCAGTTTTCCTACTTACCTGTTTTAGGGAGTGAAATGCCAGCGGAACCTGAAATGGCGATGCACACTCCAAAACCACATAAAACATTTCCAGTATCCTCTGTTCTTGTTTGCTCCTTTCCAATTCTCCAGACTTTTGCATGAAGGGATCCAGGCTACCTATAGGTAGCATTCCACCTCTCCTTAAAATGCCCTTTCTTTTTTTATATCAAAACAAAACAGTTGCAGGGGAGGGGAGATGAGAGGGCGGGGTTGGAGTGAAATAGAGGTAAGACTGCAAAACTTCTCTCTTGGTAGAGCAGGTTGCAGCAGTGCACAAGAATATTAAAGCATTGAGGGTTTTAAAAGGGAACTTCTTGTCAAAACGTGCATTTGGATGTTATATGCATAAGGTAATTGAAACTTATTTCCAGTCAGTTCAGTAGCACTGTGCTTCTCCTCTCAAATTGCAGGTGAGTGTTCTCACAGACCAGGTGGAAGCTCAAGGAGAAAAAATCCGGGACTTAGAAATCTGTCTTGAGGGGCATCAGTTGAAGCTGAATGCTACAGAAGAAATGCTCCAACAGGTAAAAATCTGGATTGCAGACCTTCTCCAGAGGTGGGGTGAGCACACATGGTCAGCTTCTCTGCATGTGTGACTGCCTTTGGCAACAGGATAAAACAGGGAAGAATAAAAACACTTTTTTTATTGTTCTCCTCCTGCTTTGCACTTTTTCCCCCCCCCCAATAAATGTTTCTTTGTTTTCCTGTTGCAGAAAAGTTTTACTGGCTGGTTGCATAATGCTGTACGTGGCAGCATGTAAATTGAAACTATTGTGTCTTATTTGAGCTGTGCTTATTTGGACATGGCTGAGTAACTGGTTAGACAGGTTAAATGTATCTAATACGTGTAGGAGTTATAGAATTAAGAGGTTTTATTTAAATGCCTTCTGTTTTCCTATGGCTTTGAAGTTGAACAAGCAGCAATTTGGAATGAATTACTGTATCAAATTCTGTTCTATAACCATTTTTGCTTAACTTTGGAGCTTTCCCCTTAGTCTGAGATGAGAAAATCAGTTTATAAAGACATTTTTTCTTTATTTGAATCAACAGTTTCAGGCTATGTGATTTAATTTGTGCTTGTTGATGTTCTATGTTGAGGGAGCAGAGCAAATGATAAATTAAATACCTTACAGAACTTGCAGGTCTGTTGATGCCAAAGTTCTTTCCCTGTACAATTTTCTGCTGTTACAATTGCAAATTATCTATTGTTAATGCAGTACATAGATACCAAAAATAGATTTTAAAATGTAAATAACCCTCAAAAATCTATGCCAGAAATTTTTAGGATACTGTTCTCTATGAGCTTAGTTTTTCTCCCCACACAAATATTGTGTGTTATAAATTTGCTATTTTATTCCATGTGAGATACGCAAGCCTTTTATGAACTGATCATAGCTTTAAATTATGATAAGGATCCTTGTGCATATGTATGTAAACAGCAGCAGTTTCTATAAGATAAAATTGTATCCTAAACATTTTAAATTATAATTCTCTGAGGTTCTTGAAAAAAACTTCCATCTCACACAGTCCAAAATGCTTCCAGCTGGGCAAGGTTTTATTCTGAGGGGACAACTTTAAAAATGCAAACAGTGAATGCATGTAGTTTTCTAGAACTCAAAGAACAGTGATTATTTAAGTTGTGAAAATCTCTTTTCAGTCTCCAGGAAGGCATTCCCAACAGAGTGCAGAAGCTCCCTGTTCCAATCTAAAGCTAGATCGTTGTTCTTTGACTTCTGCTAAAACTGCTTATTCTTTCTCTGACTTAAAATGTTTTGCCCAGATAGTCTTCTGAGGACACTGTGAACTTAAAGCCTTATTTACCAGAACACTGAGGCATCTGAAATTAGAATATAATGCTGCAGGAACATTGCCATTTCAGTGAAAATGTTTGCATCTGCTTGTCTGGCCTGAGGCACATGCACAAATTGCTTACAAAGCTGATCCTAAAGTGATAAACTGCAAAAGGCTGTACCAAAGCTAAAAAAACAGAGAATCTCCAGATATGTCTAAAATAAGCCTTAAATCTAATTTTTGGGATAACTTTGAGCAGCTGTAGTTGTTGTTTCTCCCAGTAGACAGTGGGGTTTGGGAAACCCAAGTCAGATCTCTCAGCAGTCAGAGAAGTTGTACATTCATTGTCTCAGCAGAGGATCCTATTTTATATCATTTATTTTGAAGGTTCTCTTTTCCATTCAGTTCTCCATTCCATCTTCTGTTGAAAAGATTATCCTCTTTGGGGGATGAGCTGAGATTTGGGCTGAAGAGAATGACCTGATTATGTGGTGATCGTGACATTCATGTCAGATATGTGGCCAGTAGATGTTTCTGCAGATAATTTGTCAAAAGTAGAGTGAGTGTGTGGTTTCAGGGGTTTCAATAGATGTCTCAGTCAGGTTTTGGGAAGATTTGAGTTCAGATCTTCTCAGCCAGCAGCTGCTGCTGGTGTCCTGCTTTTCAGAATGCATTCTGTTACACTCTTGAGAGGTGGCATAGTCTAAATTCAGATTTATTTCATGGTTCCGCTTCCTTATTTACAATGTATTTGAACTCCACTGATTTTTTGTTTGTGAACTTAAGTCAGCCGCTTCCTCTAAGTGGAAAATGGAACAATAAAGATAAAGCCCTGTCTTTTTAATTTCAAGAACTGTAAGAAGAGTTGACTCATAATTAATTCTGTGAAAAAAAATGCTTCAATAAAAAAACCTATAAACTTTAAGATAACCTAATGATGGTATCTGGAAGTTCCACAGCAGAAAGGGTATTTAATGCCACCCTGCAAAGTAGTTTTTTTGCTGCATCTGTGCTAGCAGAGACTTGTCAGGGTGGGGTTACTGGCAAAAAATCCTTCTGGCTTATGATTTATGCACCGTTGTTTTGAACCCTGCTACAAAGTGATTGTGGAACCACTTCTGAAACAGCAACTGGAATAAAAGTTATACAAATAACAGAAAGTGTCTGTTCAGCATTTTGGGGTGGGCATCTTGAATATGGAGTAGCAGCAGCAGAGGAGAAGGGAGGAAAGATTCTCCTTGCATCCTTCTCCCTTCTCCTGACCATGTTGCTTCTGCCACTGATTTGAGCCTGTCATGCTCAGCAAACCTCCTCCTCCACGACTGGGAGAAAACTGGCCTGGGGTTTGGAAGGAAGGGGCTGTTTTTGTGATGGCTGAGTCAAACAGCTCACAGGATAGGTCAAGGTGTGGGAGAAGGGCAATGAAGAGATGTGCTTTGACCCCACTGTTCATGGAAGCTGGAAAATCCAGCTGAGCAGCATTTGAGCAATGAGAGGATCCTGTGTGAGAGATGCAGAGATGCCCTGGTGTGCACAAGATAATGTGATGCTTAAAGCATCAAACCCAATGTTTTACTTTTGTAAGGACACTTTTTCCACCACAGGTTGTAATGAAGAAAAGTGTTTTTCCACCTTGAAGGTGTCTGGTTTTCTTCCTTCAAGAAAATGAAACTGGCTTTTTCAAAACTCATGAAAGTCAATGTCAAAACCTTAATTCAGTCCTGAAGTATAATTCAGGTTTGGGCCAAGAAACAAGGTCATCTTTCACAGTAAATGGTAACAGAAAACGTTGTGGAACATGGCTGGCAGGAAGACACAAGTTTAATTTCATGGAATTACCTTCCAGTGAGGTGTCTGTGCTGCTACTGAATGTGTGAAGGATATGGAAAGGCTGGCCTGTGTGAACAGCTACCTGCCTTTCCCCTTGGCACATTGTAAAGGAGATGTCTAGAAGTAAAATTAAAAAAAAAACAACTTCCTATAATTATCCTAGGAAAACAATTTATGCTGTGACAGCCCATTGCCAGTATATCAACTGCTTTAAATTGTAAAGTTACAGCAAATTTTAGAGAGCAATGATGGGTATGTGTGTGTGTGTGTGTGTGTGTGTGTGTCTTGTTCTAAGTTACTTTGTGGCATTACTAAGTACTTTCTTCCAGTAAATTTTAAGAAAGAATTTTTTTTTTTTTTTGGAGATGAGAGAGAGCCTTGGGGGAATCTCCTATCAACATGCTGTAGAGTTGGAAACAGAAGTAATTTTTGCTCTATAAAGTTGTCTAAACTGCCCCATAACAGAGAGTACCAGCCATGCCTAATGCAAACACATCAGTGCTGTGGAATCTGACAGCTGTGTCATGTCCATCTGAAAAGTGAACTTCTGCACACACAGATTTCACCTCCACGGTGCCTTTGCATGCATTTGTTGGTAATTGTCAGGAGTAAATCTAGTTTGTTGCCTCTTTGCTATTCCAGAGATGCATTTTATTTGTTTAACAGACAGCAATTTCCATTGGAGCTCTCTGGAATAAGGACAGGAGTTTGCTTAACCAAGGACAATTTTGTTCTGGGGGGCAGAGTCTTTCCTGTACCTGAGCTGAACCAAATCCTAGATGTGGTCTGACCATGTCCTTTTGCCTTCCAAATAATTCTTGACACAATCTAGGGGGCTCTTGCTGGAGAGTTTTGTTGTGTGAAAATGACTGTGTCTTCATTCAAGTGAATTCTCTTGAAAAGTACAAAGTATTTGGTTTTAGGATTCTTTGTGCCTTATTAAAAAATACACATAAAATCTGAAATGCTGGGGTGTAAACAGGAGTGGATCTCTGTTCTCATGTCAGTTTATGGCCCACTCCTGTCTGGGTGCAAGGGCCAGAGGAAGGTGTGCCAGACAGTGGAGAACCTTTTTAAAAACTGGATTAAAAGTATGCAGGGAGGAGCTGTGTCAGAGTAGGAACTTGAATCCAGCACTATTCAGTGTGTACCTGCTCTGGTTTTGCAGCTGTCTCATGCTCAGGGCAGCCAGAATCCTGCCTCAGTTGCAGGGTATAAATCTGGTGTGTATCTGTTTGCTCCTCAGGAACTTTGCTGGCTGGCAAAGACCATTCCTTCAACTTTCAGTTGCCTGAGTTATCTGATCTTAGATGAATTTCAGCACTTGTTTATAGCATGCAGGAACTTCTTGCCAGCAGCTGGCTTAGTGTTTCAGATTTTGAAGTGTGCTCTGTGCTGCTCTGGTTGAGCTCTGAGGTTTTCAGAGCATGCTCTTAAGCTGTGCAGCTTTATCTCTCCAGGTGAGCACTCCACTTTGCTCTTTTGGAGTTAACATGGGCAGGATCCAAGGGAGATCAGATCCAAGGGCTGGTCAAGTTGGCAGGGCTATGGGAAGCTCTGTCCTTTCCCTGCCTTAACTATATAATGGGCAAATGATGAATTGGAGGGCTGTAATTCCCTGTCTGCTGCTGCCTTGCACCATTTCATGGTGATTGCACACATACATCGCTCTGAGCTGTGCTTCCAGCTAAGCAAATATCTTTTTTCTGCCACAGCTGACACACAGCTCTTGAGAAGTGCAGCCCTCATTAGGGGGGCTTCTGGCTACATTTTGCTTCCCAGGTAGGTAGGTAGCTTGGTCTGTCTGTCTCTCTGTCTCTGTCTCTGTCTCTCTCTCTCGGTTTTTAATAACGGTGAAAAGTAAGGATTTTTTCAAATGTTGTATTTTGTAGGGTGCGCAAGTGCAAAATGGGATCTTGGAGGTTTTTTTTTTCCTCTCCTCACTTGACTAAAATCTTACTTACGGTTTTTCAATCAGTGTATGGCATGATTGTTTCCTCTGTTTTGTGGAGAGCTAAATATCCTGGAATTTTCTGTGCTTGCAGCTGAGAGCCTAAAAAATTATAGTCTCCTCTTTTCAAGCTATTTTTGTCATGTTACATTTTATAAATTGTTTTATAAGAATTGTGTGTTTCCAAGACAACTAAATGTGAGAGTGAGATATACAGCATGGGCTACAGCTTCATTGGGAATATTAGAAAAGTTGATTAAGTACTTTAGAAGTATACAGCGTGAGTTTTAAAAAGTGTGTTGTGTTTGGAAATAGTTTGCTACTCTTTGATCTGTCTGGTACACATATATCACCACTTCTGCATGCCTCCTCAATTTTTAAAGTTAAAAGTTGAGTTTCGAAAAAGATCTTTAAGAAGGAAAATTACACTTACATAGTATAATGTATAGTACATTTAAAACTAAAACCAAGTATCTTGTTTCTAAAGAAGACTCCCTAGGAAATGTTCTATATCTGTTCTGTTTTTCAGCTAAGATCCTCCTAAAGCTGCTACAGCCTAAATTACCATTTTGCCTGTCTTATATTTTCTTTTTTTTTTTTTTTTTTTTTTGCTTTCAAACCAATAACAAAAATTTGTATTTTCTTTTCTTACAATTGCATATTTATTCTGGCTGAATTCAAGTTGCAGCATACCGCTGAAATACACTATAATTTCTCTGTAACAAAATGGTTTGCATTCTTAATGAGCTGTTCACTGTGTGCATCTGCTTGAAGATGAAAATAATTGCTTCCAGATGTTCCTATTTCAAGAGGAGACATTTACTTTAAACGGCACTTGCTTTCAAAGCACAAGTTAGGTCCTCTGGATGAAAGAGCAATTGTCAGCTGTTTTAAATCAGTGGAGCTCCATTGAAAACAAACTAGGGGTAGTTAGCTGCTTTGCCTATTCAAAGTCACGAGATTTATGCCAGTTTACTCCAGCTGAGAATCTGATTCTCCAGCTTTGGAGCAAATAGTAAAACTGTGTTCGAGCTGATTAAAAGCAAAGCAAACCCAAGCAGCTGCCTTTGTGCTCACTTGGAGCAGGTAGTGCCTCCACGTTCACACAGAACTCCTAAACTTGGGATGAGTGGAGTGAGTGTGGATTGCTCTCCACTGCATAACTGAGGGTAATTTAGGGGTCTGTAGGAAAAATAAGAAGTAATGCCAGATGGTGCACTCAAAGGATAGATCTTTTGTTTAAAATCCCTAGAGTGATGCTGCGGCTCCTTGCCTTATTAAGAAATATTCCTCCCATATCATGGAACACCATGTCAGTGTCCAAAAAAATTCTAAATGTTGTTTTAGCTCAAGAGTGGGTAGAGTCTGTCTATGGGGCCAGAGTTGCCTCATCCTGCTCTTCTTTCTGATGTTCAGTGGCTTTATTTCATATCAAAGCTCCCATTTTTAACTCTGCCTTAACCTGCAGCAGTCTGCTATCTTAACAGCTGTGCAGAGCCTGCTCCAGTCTGGACTGGGATGTGCCTCTGAAACTCCTGCAAATTCGTGTTTTTCTGGAAGATAGAAAAGGAGGAGTTATTTGTAATTATAATTGTAATTTGTAATCACCTGTGTGGAACTCAGCTCCTCCTGGGATTTCATTAAGTGACTGTCTCTTAGAGTTTTTCAATTAGAAAAAGTCCATGCAATATCTTTTCCTAATGAGGGCTTGAGTTATTTCATTTGGAGAAGACAAAAATTAAAAAAAAGCCAAAACCACGAGGCTACATTTCTGTTTATTTTCCCATCCATCCACAAATATCATTGCCAATGTCAGCAGGAATGGGCATGGCATTGGGAATAGTGGGTGGCTTAGATAATTGGTGTTGCAATACAGATGCAAGTTTAGTACTATTTTTAATTTGTGCAATATTCCCCACCAGACTAAAATAACTTACATGTAGAGCAGATTTTGAAATCAACCTTGACTCTGTAATCTTTGAAATAACCTTTGTGGCTTCTCCAAGCCATGGTCTACAATGTACTGTGCAGTTTGGGGCAGAGGAAGAGATGAGAAAAGGCTGCTGGACGTGGTGATTTCTGATGCCTCAATAACATCAGTACAGATTACTGTGGCAACTTCAGTTAAATCACTGCCATGTAACTCAAAGCACAGTCTGCTGTGACTCCTCAGTGTGATTCATGTGATCAACACACTAATGGGATTTATGAATTATCATAAAATCTTTTAACCATTTGGAAGCTTACATTCTTTCATTAAAAATCAATTTGGCACTTGGGAAATGAAGTATGAATTTTTCAATAAGGCTTAAACTCCTGATGGGACTTTTTTATTTTTGAAAACAAAGGTGACAGAGGCATTTGATGTATGTAATATACTCTGTTAAATTTTCTTGCCTTGGCTTCTTGGTGGTGGTTTCTTGCCTTGGCTTTCCTGGGAAATGAAACATTCAGTGAAGGTGTGAATGTTGACCGTTCTCCAAACACACTGATATGACTCCATCCAAAGCATGTGTACTCTGCAATCTGCAAAACAAACTTGGAGCACACAAGAAAAAGCCATGAGCAGTTATTTCTCCTTTACAGTGTTTCTTAGTTTGGACACTGCCTTTTAGACTCCAGCTGGGACATTTCTTTCACTGCAGTTCCCTCCACACTGGGCAGCCCTCAAAAGCCATCAGGTGCTACATGGTGTGAGTTGCTATTTATTGGTTGTAGAGGTGTTGCATTCCTCTGCTACTCAGTTTGGGTTAAGGTGCTCATTCTGCAGTCCATCCTTTATTGGATAACACGTGACAAGAAGGTCTACAAGGTAATCCTGGAGCATAACTTTGGCTGATGAGTGTTTTAGGAAGACGCCAGCTCTTTTGTAATGTGCCATTATGGAGGTTTGGGTTTGTTCAGGCTCAGTATTGTTTTTGATCTCATGTCTAGCCCAGGGATTAACGTTGCCACACATTTGCCTGAAATAAGGAGTGGGACACGGTGGTTTGGTGATTAACACAGAACATTTAGATGAAAATAACTGCAGCATTTGAGAAACACACTGAGGTTCAAACTGAGGGTTTAATATGGGCCTGCCAATAAAACACATGGCAGTCTGTCAGTGCTCACATAAATAACTGGGGAAATCTTTCTGCTTTGCTTTCAGGAGCTGCTAAGTCGCACATCACTCGAGACTCAGAAATTAGATCTGATGGCTGAAGTTTCAGACCTGAAGATTAAGCTGGTTGGTATGGAAAAGGAGCAGAGCGAATATGAAGAGAAACAGAACAAAGCTGAGGTGAGTTTCTTTCATTAGTAATTTGAATTTTTTTCCATGTCTGTGGTGTGTTGTCACACACCTGAGCTTTTGGGCTGAAATCAGCAGGGATGGGTATTTCCCATGCCTGCAGCACAGCCTGTATCACTGACCCAGGATTATGTGTTTTCGGGATGAGGTTTCTTTTCCTCTCCCTCATTATACTTCAGAGGTTGCTGTTTCGCTTTCATCAAGGCAGAGTCCCTTCCAGAAGCATTTATTGCAGTGGGTGTTCACTTAACCCTTTTCTTTCCCTGGGAGCTGCAATGATGTGGCTTTGCCAGGCCTTCCAGAGCTCTTACATCATTTTTGTGGCAGAAAAGACTGTCAGCTCAGTAGTGCTAGAGGTGCCACAAGCACTGAGATTGGGGGTTTTAATGTATTTGTGGCATTTGCCTCAAATGTGTCTTTCCCCTTGTGACTACATAATAAATAGTACAAAAAATATCATGGGCTGGAGGCAATTTCAGCCCTTACTCCCTTTCAGATGTGGAGAGCTCTGGACATCCGAGGAGCTTTGGGTTTTGCTGTATTGGTTAAGAAAGAGAATATGAAACAGGGAATTCATCTGAGCAACATCCATATCATGGTGGTGAGCAGCAGGTGGGAGCTGGGAAGGAAAGCAATCGTGGAAGAGAGAAATTCATACAAATGTGTTGCTCTACTCAGTGGTCCTGTAAGGGGACCAGCCAGCAGGAGAGGACTGCCTGGAAAGGAAGGATTGCTGAGTCTGACATTTATACATTGCTGACTGGAAAAAAAAAAAAAGAAAAACAAACAAACAAAAAAAAACCACAAAAACAAAAACAAAAACAAAAACACCACCCAAACTTTGTTCCCTATTGACTTAGCAGGATTTGAAATCCAGGCAGCATTAGGAACAGTTTGCTCTCCAAAACTCTGCTAGTGGAATAGGTGACAACTTTGTAACTATGCATCAGTATTTTGCCTGCAGTGAGGTAGCTGGTAGCTCGTTTGGGGTGTGTTTGCTTTCAACTTATTTATTCTCTGAAGTTTTCTTTAGAGATTCAAAGATAACATAAAGAGAGCAATTTCTGGCAGAGCTTGCAAGCCAGAGAGGCACCAGCTGCTGTTTTTACCACCTGTGGCCCTTCTGGTGCTCTTTCAGACATAATTGCCAGTGCTTTGTGTACAGAGAGGGCCTGAGCACTCTCAAGCTACCTGAAAATCTGAGCAGCTCTTGATGGCTACAGATGCCAGCCTGCCCCCAGTGCCTCCCATGAATGTAGAATACAGGGCTGAGGATGCCTAAATTATTGCAGGGACAGCCTGGCTCTTGGAAAGCAGCAAAGATTTTGGGTGCATTTTTATGGACAGGATTTTTGAGTGCCTGGGAGATCTGGTCCTGTGAGCTGTGCAATTCTGCTGCTGCTGCAGGGAGGTGTGTGCCCGCTTGGGTGGGAAAGTTGAGCTTTAGCAGCCTGGGATGCCTTGGTGGTGGTGCAAAGTGATAGGACACGTTCCTGCTGAGATGGAAAAAAGGATTCTAATCTGATGGAAAAGTTGAGAATCCTTGTGTTGAGTGTGGGCTGAATTATTTACTACCCCAAAGTGTGATTAGGTTTCTGGCATGTTGAAGGTTGCAAACCTTTGTGTGTGCAAAGTAAGGAAAGGTGTGGGAAACAAACAGCATTTTTGGTTTGCTTGTTATTTGTGTATTTATTTCAGATTCTCTTGAATAAGCATTAATCCCATTTATCATGAGTTGCTTTCAATCTAATTAGATGCTTAGTTGAATTCTAATGCTTTAACCCTATTTATGCTCCTTTTCCTGTAAATTATACAAATTTTTCAATGCAAGACACGATTTCAAACATCAGAATGAAATTTATTCATGTCCTTTACATTATTAGATTACAGCTGCTTAAATTTGGTAATATTTTGAGTGTTTTCCTGAACTCTTTGCCTCCACTGCCCAACTACATCTTTCTAACGAAGAAACCACTTTGACAAAAGCAAATAGTCTACCTGTAGTTTGCTCTTGGTTTTGGCATCCAGCAGTTAAACCATTTTAAATAGCTTGTTCAGATACTTCATGGCTGATCCTGCTATTTTTAAATATAATAATGGGGCTTTAAAAGTTTTAAATTAAATGTGGCCTTGCAGGATCATTCAGCTGAACCATGTTTTCTCTCTATTCTAATTTTGTGTCTGCTTATTTCACAGCAGCTGTTTCCAGTCACTTAGAATTTATCTATAGAATTATTTTTCTGGTTGGGCTGGGAGGAAAGAAAGCAAATTAAGACATCCTTCTAAATGTATGTGAGTTTTAATGTGTAAGATTGGTTTCACTTTATCTTGTGCAGCTGTCATTTAGGTTTGGTTTTAGTGAGCAGCAAAGAGTTCATCAAACATCTCTAGCCTCCTCTCACAGGTATTGATTTCACACTGAATGCCACTTGTCTCTGGCCCTTCAAAAGTACATACTAAATATAAAGTGCCATTTATTTATATATATTACAGATGGGCCAGGAGAATAACTGCTTGTACATGGACTGTTTCACTCCTGGCTTTGTCACTTTAATTCCTTTTCTGGGGAATAAAGTCCTACTTTTGACTCAGTAATGATATGAAGGTTTCTGGACTCTCACCTGAAGGGGTTGTGTGGCTTTTCTCTTACCTGAGAAGCCTCAGAAATTTTGAAAATGTGTTTTTCTTAATGTAGCAAGGTATGAGGAAGCAGCATTGTCATAAGATTCATGGCTGTCCAGATGTCTGCTCTACCTGAATATGGACAAAAGAGACTTTCTGTCTGTCCTGCTTCTTCCTTTTGTAGCACGGGATAAGTCTGTGGGTTTGGCTGTAAGCTGCTGGCAAGTATTTTGTGGCTCTTGCAGCTTCTGAATTAAATATCTAGTGCAAAGCTACTTGCAATTCCAAAGAAACCTGAGTCAGTGAGGCACTGACTCCCTCTGGGGAGTCTGGTGTGCTGTCTCATCTGAATCAAGGTGTTGTAGTTAGTGTTGATGAATGTTCATGCTGGGAAAGAACCTCAAAAAGGCCTGTTCTACCTTGAAACTGAAACAATTGTGAAGTCACAGCTGGAGTTCCCCTGGGATAAGGGTCTCTATTATAAATTAAAGGTGACTCCGACGAAAGGGAGAGAATGATGAGGAGGACTCTATGGATATTAGAAGGTTAATTATATACATTTTATCTAAACTGAATCTGTTAAGCATTCACTCTGCACACAGCTGCTAACACTGTACTGAATCTTGTGACTCTCAGCTGACACACACACAGAGTTGGTCCTGAGAAAACAAAACATCTTCATTTTGGATAAACAATCTCCATATTGCATTCTACTTTGGTACAACATAGGCACAGTGAGTGATAAGAATTGTGTTTTCTCTTTCTCTGAGGTTCAGAGAATGTGAATCTCAGAAATCTTTGGGAAGAATTGTGCCTTGCTTTTCTCTGTGAAGAGAAATGTGGCAACAGGTTTCTGCCATCTCTGTACTGTCAGGTTGGCCCTGTGAGGTCTGTGGACACTTCCCCTTCCCCTTTTTTAATGCTAAGGCAAAAGAGAGAATTGCAAGTTAGCAGCAGAAGTGTTTCTGGATGCCCCCATGGCACCACAAGCAGAGCAGCTGCCAGTTTGTGCTCAGAAATCCATGCACCCTGTTGGAGCTGCCCTACTCCATCCAGAGCCTGGTATGGGCTGGCAGAGCTCTTGTCAAAGAGGAGCACAGACCAAACCTTGGTGCTAAAAGAAAACAAGGGATTTGGATGTGTATGTCCTGCCAGTCCCCATCCCCAGCTGGTGCTGCTCTGGGAGGTACCTGATTGTGGAGAGGGTGGTTAAAAAAAAAAACAAACTTAATCCTCATTTGAGGATGAGCATCAGACATTGTGATCCTGATTGAGCATAATATGTATAAAGTAAAATGTATGTAATGGCTTTTCTGCATTTCATCTTAAACAGCGAGCTAGGAAATACTCAAACATGTGGAACTCTTGTATGAGTTAGGTGAATCTTTGTGGATGTTTAAAGTTGACTGTGGATGCTGTTCTGCCCTGTCCTTGCTGTTCCCTAGCTCTAAGACTCCTGATTTTACTGCAGAGTTGAGGTTACAGGAGGACTGTTGGCAATTCTAATGGAGAAAATAATAAAAAATTATTTGCCACGTCATCTGTTGTTCTGTCCAGTGAAATCTTTTTCTCTCCTTTGAAAGATTAAGCTCCTCAAATTTGTTCCACCTGCGAAGATTGAGAAACCACAAAACTTATGTTATTAGTGTCCATGAAAGCTAAGAGAAAGGCACTTCAGACTCGTGATACCTGAAAAAATACTCAGTGCTATTTGCTACAGAGTTGGGGAATTTAGGTGAAATATCATATAGATTTTCATACTTGACTTTGGTTTGCTTTCTAAGCTGGATTTTTGTGTGTGTGTATCACCGATACACACAAATCCAATAAGCTGACCAATAAACTGGTACACTTTCAAATAATTACTTTTTCTTCTGTGTTATTTTCCTGAATTCTCCTGCATCTGTTGCTTAACTCCTCCTCCACCTCAAGATCCTGCCCAGATACAGAGAGAGGTAATGGAGTTATTTTTCTGCCTCGTGCTAGACCTGGAAACAGAATTACTTTGCTGGTGAATTCCGCGTATAAATTATGAAAGAGCAGGCTACGGCCCCAGCTGAGCACTTTGCAGTTTCTTCCTACTGGATGTTTTGGAAGGGTAAATGAATACAATCAAGTCCCATTTCAGCAAAAGTGTATCTCTGAGCCAAATGATCTCTCACATGACTGTGAAACTTTCCAAAAAAAGTTTCTGATCTTAACTTCAGAGTCAGAATCATGAATTAGTCTGGAATGTAGATTCTGTTCCATGCAAACTGTGGCTTTGTGCAATATTCCAGGTTTATACTCATTTACATCAACTTTATTGGAAAGGAAACACATAATCTGTCTTTTTTTAGTTTGCCTTTGATGTGCTTCACATAATTCTTTGTGCTGCAACTGTAGAAACATATTCTTTGCATCATTTTTTTTTCTCACCTGTATTTTTTTTTGTCTTTTTTTTCTCTCTTTCCTCCCATGTTTTCAGTCAGTAGTGAACCTGATCAGTGACCTACAGGAGCAGATGTGTAGACTGCAGCTGGAAATTAATAGTAGGATCCAAGAAAGGAAGTCTCAAGATAGGAAAGCAGACTTGACCCCTAATGGTCCTCAATGTGGTGCAAGATCAGTAGAGCCCCTGGGCCAGAAGAATTGCTCTCGGTGTGAAGTACGAGAAGCTCCCCTTGGCAGAAGCCTCTGTATTGCCTCTTCTCCCTCTTGCAGAAACTAAATTCCACTAACCAGAGCTGCCTTGGGAATGTTTTGGCATTAATCTTTGTGGCTTTCATTAGCAAAGAGTGAGAGTGCCATAAAAAAATGACCAGGAAAAAAAAAAATCTCACCCCAGGCTCTCCACCTCAGTTACTGGGACAAATTTGGTTACCATTGATGGCCGTCTGCTAAAGCACAGAAATCTGTAAAGCCCCTTTCAGAATTTTCGCAGTTTCCATTTCACTTGTAAGTCTGCAGTGCTGATGTGGTGTGGAGTTTTTTGGATTTAGGTTGAGATTTGTCTGATTTTGTGCAGCATGCTGGCATGGTTTGTAGTTTGCTGCTTTTCCTCATGATGATGCCATCCCAGCTGTGCTTGATGGTGTGGCCTAACCAGTCCTCTGAACACAGATTATTGATTCCTGGATATCTTAAAAGCTTAACACAGGTATCAAATAATCTCAGCTAAGACTCTCTGACATGTACCCTTTCTTTTTCTAATTAAAAGAGCCATAATAAAAATAATCCGCTGGTACTTTTAAAATAGTAAATCTATCACAGTTGTGTTTTTTCCCTGCCATTAGCAGGTACCAGAATTTACATAACAGATCCTGGTTGTGTTTGATGAAAAATGTCTCACATGGCAAAAGAAAAGCTGCTTTGCATAAATGGCTTCATATCACTGAAGGTGGAATGATACTAGTATGCCTAGAAAAAAACATTTTAATACTTGATTTCAAATCAGGTTGTTGCCACATTTCTTTGGTTAAAATTTGCATGCCCAGAACACATAAGTAATCTTCTTGTATTGTGAGGGAGTTTTTCAGTAATTTCTCTCATAGGTCTGTATTATAAAAGTAACTATTCTTTGTGTTACACGTATTTTGAAAATAGTGCTGTTGTTTCTGGGCTTGTTTTTGTGCAGGGCTGCTTAATGGACTATTGGAACTACAGTCTTTAGGTTGGAGAAATAATCTAAGAGTCAAATCTAGAAGTCATTCCAAGTAAATCTTAATGCAATGCAAGATGTTAGTGTGGTGCTTAATGTATGTACTGCACAGGAGCCCAAAATTGGGTCACTCCTCCAAACTGTTCCTTTCCTCAGTTCATTTTAAGACATTTTGTCTTGTTAGAGCTTCATCAAGGTTTTAATAATATTGTCCTTTAGTGAGTAAGATACAGTTCTATCAAGGACTGGGAGAAGGGACATTTAAGGGACAGCTTCTTAGAGTAGGACACAGTTTTTAGTGTGGCAGTTCAGTGTTGAATACTGTGTGGTTCATGCATGATCTGTAATTCAGGACTGGGAAAAATTAATATCTGCCAGAAAAACCTTGCCTTTAATTTCCTTCTTCCTCTGCAGGGTTTGTTACAGGAACTCAGACACCTCAAAATTAAAGTGGAAGAACTGGAAAACGAAAGAAATCAGTATGAGTGGAAATTGAAAGCAACTAAAGTAAGCACAATCCCTGGCATTTTCTAATGACCGGCATCTATCAGCTGGGAGGGGATATGCTCCATTTCTCATCAATATTTACTTTTCTGATGTTTCCCTTGTGCAACGTGGCTGTGAAGTCAAGTTTTCTTGAACCATCTTTGGAATAAATATCTTGTTTTGAAGGTGGTGTAGTTTTCTTTGTGCCTTTTGCTCCCTCCATGCAGTTTTCAGTCTGGTACTTCTTGCAATTCTTATTTTAGGCAACCACAAAAGGCATTTTGACTTGCAAAGAGCTGCTCAGAATAAAGGCCTATTTGAAGGCTTCCTGGCCTTGATTTATATAATGGTGACAAGCCTCTGTGGGATATACTTTCCTGAAGAGGCATGCAAAGTTTGTTGGGTGTTTGCTTACTATGGAATTTGTTTTCACAGACATTTAGCCCAAAATAAACCATTAGATCATCTGCTTTGACTTTGTGTATATCACACTGCTTGGCTGCCTTACACTTTTGTTGACCTTAAGTCCTGCATAGCTGTTGGATCATAATCTGGAGAAACTTGACATGTCAAACATTTAATCATTTTCCCCAGCAATTAATTTTTCTAGTGGAACATTCTCACTGTTATCTCTAGTTTGAACTTTTAGCCCTTTTCCACTGGATTAAAAAGCACCATACAATTTTTCCTTCTTGTGCTGTAATTACATCTCCTTTCATTTGTGTAATAATCCCTGTTGATATGAATGGCTGACTCTTGACCTGTGGTTGAATCTTGGAGAAACATTTCAAATTATTAAACTGAATTTTCTATTCAAGGCTTGATAGCTTGATCCAGACATGACAAACAGCTATTATTTGTATTAGCATTTCTTTCTTTTGAGAATTCTTGGATGAATAGCAGAATGTTGCTGTCATGTCTTTTTTCTCATTAAGATAATAGTTCTTCAATCCATGAAAATGTTTTCTCTGACATGGCTGAGATGAACAGCCTTTGGGAAAATATTTTCTCAAGCACTGTGTGGCCAGCTGCCAAGAAAGAAATTATGGAAAAAGTAGGAGCAGAAGGAAAATAGGAAAGAAGAATCATAAAACCCACTGGGGGAAAGAAGGTGCAGGACTGGAAAGGAAGAGAAGTACAAAGAAAGAGAAAGGAAGCAGAAAAATAATCAGAGATGACAGGAATTAGATAATAAGGGAAAAGAGAGCCTTTGAAAGAGTTCTGAGGTTGAGTAGACCAGGCGAGGCAAATCCAGATGTGGTATTAAGAGGTCTGCAGGCTTTTGTCTTCCTGTTATTCCAGCTTCTTAGACGAGACATTGGAATAAATCCATGGCTGGATATAAAAAGCATATTAGTCAGTGGGAAGTGTAGGAGCCCTTCAGAGATGCAGCAAGGCAGATTCTTCTATTCCACATGGAATTTTAGGCAGAGCAGTGATGTTATCCTGCAATCCAACTGTTTGCTTCCTGGTGAAAATAAGTTGGTGTGTTAATTAATCTGTGTTTCTCCCTGTTTGGATAATGTCCTTTGGTGGTTTGCATCTTTCCTGCTTTATTTTATTTTGAGAAACTGGTCATGGGGTTTTTTGTCCTTTTTCTTTGCTTTTTTCATCCCTTTTTCCCCACCCCTTTTTTTTTTTTTACTTTTGTCCTTCATCTTCAAGGAGGCTTTGTGTGCCTTTACAGGGGAAATGTAGAATGTTGACACACAATTATTTTGAGACCTCTGAAGAAAATCTTATCAAACTGCTGACTTACTAAAATAGGCTGCTAGCAGTTTTTCTCATCAATACTAAAAACAGATTAGAATCACAGCATTTCAAACTGAACAATCACAGAATTCTTCTCCCTCTGCCTTGTTGAGCTTTTTTATGTGGGATTTTCCATCCAAATCGGGTGGCAGCCCTAAATGTCCAGTAAATGTAAATGAATATGGTCTTCTGTTGCATATGTGTGGTGGTTTTCCAGGTCATGCTTTCCTTCAACCCTATTTGCTGTTTTGAGGAAAAACAGTTTTGTTATCTTGCAGAGAAGGCTCTGTATTAATAGATTCTCAGTTATACTAATAAGTAGTAACTAGGATTAAAAATAAATAATAAAATAAATAATAAATAAATAAAATAAAAAGCACCAGCATCTGTTTAAAAATCCTTTGATATCTTTTAGAGGTCTTCATGCAAACTTTGAGTTCCCTATAGTAGTCATTATTATTATTATTATGTGACCAACTTTATAGCATTGAAAACTTTCCAGAGTTTCCTTACCTACATAAATCCTTGGAAATGTTAGTCTGACTTCTCCAAGAGCTAATTGCATGGGGAAAAATGAGCTTCTCTAATAGCAATAACAGCATAAATATGTATAGTTGTCCTAGTGTTTGTGAAATATCCTAAGCTGATAACTGACCTCAATCACAGCCTCCCTCAGACATCTCCTCATTCCTGGGAAGGACTCACAGACAAGGGGTGGGGAAGTTATTCTGACTTTGCTGTGCTCTTTTTTAGGCTGAGATAGCCCAGCTCCAGGAGCAGCTGGCTCTCAAAGATGCAGAGATAGAACGCTTGCAAAGTCAGCTCTCCAGGACCTCCTCATACACTGAAGTGGCAGAAAGAGGTAAGAGTAGAGGAAACAAAATTAAAAATTCAGAACCCTACTTTAAGTTTGCTTTGGTAGCAGCTTGGACACTGGATGGCAAAGAGATACAAAGAAATGCAAGAATGGACCTAAAGTTTATTATGGGAGGAAAAGCAATGTCAAATTCATTCTGTGCTCTGGTAGAGTAGAGGCCTTTAACGTGTGAAATTCCACTCCAGTCTAGAGGCAGCACAAATTGAAATAAGGAGCCTCAAGAGTCTGAAACTTTTTCTGTTGGTGTTTTATGTGTAATTGTAAAGACTCATTGTACATCAATGGAAATTTAATTTTCAGGTATACCTTGAAAATTTCTTAGCAAAATCTTTACAGTTTCTGCTTTATAAGGGACAAAAAAAGGATCACAGTAGTAGCTAAGCCTAATGTTTCAATGTCCAAACATCCTAAAAGAGTCTTTGCTTCCTTTCTTCATGGCTGTGTCTCATTCAGGCTCCCTGTCCCATGAAAGTTTGCATTTTCAGTGTCCCTGCCAGCCTGGGCTGGTTTAGGGCTCTGTGATATTGCAGGTTTCTTTTTGTCTCTGTTGACACAGGTCAGTGGCAAACAAACCAGTTTGTTTAGCCTTTGGTCTCAACCAGTGGTGCCACAGCTCTCGGAAATATTCACTCCCTGGGGCTCCTGCCAACTGCTGGGCAAGGAGAATATGGAATTAGGGACCTTTTTCCTCTGCAGCACCAGCACTCAGCCATGCGGGAGTGTTTGTGTGCAGTTTAGCACAGGGCATCAGCTTTGCTGCTCTAACAGCTTCTGTGGGTGTTAACTGAGGCTTCCCAAGACTGCCCTGGCTGGGATGTGAATTTCCATGTGCTGTGCTTCCCCCTTCCCAGGGCTCCCCAAGAACCTCCTCTGGTTCATTCCAACAGAGTGACCTAACATCTCCTTGTGGTGATCTCACCCAGCTGCAGAGCTTGTGCATGTAGAGAGCTGCATGTGTAACCAGAAAATTAGTTGGTCTAACAGCAGTGCTTGGTAGAGGAACCCTTCTACTAATAGAAATATGTATTTTCTGAGGGATTCCCAAATAATTTAGGGTATTTCAAAGGAAAGATAGTGGTATGACAGTAAATCTGGAGCTCAGCAGCATTCAGGTTCTAGCAGTGTGGTGAAACTGTCCTTGATTCCAGTGGCAGAAGAATCAAACCCTCTACAAAATCCATGGGCTATGTTCAAGGAAAGCACTTAGACTGTATTTGAATGGAAACAGTAACAATCCTTCTGAAAACAAACAAACAAAAATTACTGATTGATCAGAACTTTAGGTGCTTTTCTCAAATAAAGTGGAAATGTAGTATGCTAGAATGCATATCCTAATTAAATTGCAGAATTGATCTAATGTGTGCTTTTTCTACATACTTGACTCTCACCACTTCCCATCGTAGAGGAAGTTTATAGGAGAAGGCTAAAAGAAAAACGTAAGCCTTGCAATTCCCTTTTGGCTTTATCTCACTGTTCCTTTCATACCAATGTTAACTCAGATGCCTCCTGCAGCAATAATTCCATGTCTGTTTAGATTTGGCTGTCTAATTGTAACACACACGAGACACTGCTTTCACTGCCTGCAGCAAGCAGACAGCTCCTTTCCCTGCTCAGTGAGATTTCACTGCAGAAATAAAGGTCAGAGGTTCACAAATCAAATTGTTGGACTTCAAAGGGATGTTGACAAGGTTAACAGAGCCAAAACTTAATAATTGCCCCCTTTTATTTGCACATATGTAAACTCCATTTAATAACAGAAAAGACAGCTTTAATTGAAAGCCTTTCCCTTTGGAGGGGAGGATTTAGGCTTTTTTATTTTTTAAATCATTCTATCAATTTTTTTTTAAAGTCTGAATAAATGTCCCCATACTTGATGATGTTAATGAACACAGTAAGTAAAATTTGCTTTAGTGTGCTTAAATCTACTTTGACACCAGTCCTTTTTGAAGTCTAACATTTATAAAGAGAAATTAGTAGGACTGTGATTTTTTTAAAAAGTCTCCCAGTTGCTTGCCCACTGCCTGCTGGCTTTAGTTTTTTATTTGGCTGTGCCTGTGCATGTCCTGTGTCTCTTCTTTGAGAAAACACCTGTGAGGTTCACATACATGTTTTAAACTTAATCATTGCAAGGTGTGCACTTTCCAGAATCCCTGCAATAAAAACTAATTACAGCTTTTTCAAATAGTTTAGCTATGACATTGTGTGTTCAACCTTCATTTGTAAAACCTTTTTTCACAGATGCTCTTTGGCAATGTTGATTTTCTTTCCCCTCTCTCCCTTCCTGCCTGCTGCCATATCTGTTTTCATGGTTTTTTGGGAACAGTTGTGTCTGGTGTAATGTCAAAGCATGAATAGCTGGAGGCGGGAGTTACAACACAGGAACTATCTCAGGTTCTGTCTCCATTACACTTGGTTTACTCAGGAAGGTTTGCTGGGACTATTGTGTAGAGAAAAATGGGAGACTTGGTTCAGCAAAGTTAGAATGTGATTAACAACCTCATCAGTTTCAGAGAGGGTGTTTTAATTGACTTGATTTTAACATTACTGGATAGCCTCTATCACTAAATCGTGTGTGAGGAAATTCTCCATTAGCTCGTGACTTAGATTTAAACCAAGTTGCCCATACTGAAACACTTAAGTAAATAACATTTTACAGAATTTCCTTCTATCAAATTAGTTTTTTGTTATTTTTCATTCCCAAGTTCATGGATGTACTTTAGCTACTTCTCAGATGGAATATATTTTCAATCCTATTTTAAATGATTTCCTTAAGTATATAACAGCAAACATACTCTCATCTTTTTTGCAAAATGAGCTTCTGTGTTTCTTTTCTTTTCCATTGCTTGACTTTCATAGTTAAAAATAGTGTTATGTAGTCTTTTGTAAGCAAAACCAGGATGTTTGTGTTGTGCAATACTTTTTACAGTTCAGCTTCTGAAAAAATCTACACTAAATGTAGTTTAGTGGTGCTCTGGCCATGCCACTGACATGGTTTTGGTTATTAGTAAGAACATAGGGAAAGTATCACAAAACATCTCTTTACAGTAAACAGAACAAGTCTTATTTCTCTTACAATGTTTTAAAACATTTTCAGACCAAGAAGTTCAGAGGCTGAAGATAGGAATGGAGACATTATTGGCTGCAAATGAAGAAAAGGTGAGAAAATAATCCTTGTTCTATGTGTTAAGAATTAAATTATAGTTTTGAATCTCTGAAATGTTCCAAATAACACATTTTCTGTAAGGACTAAATGAGAAAGGGGATTAATTTTTCAGGAGACTGTCATTTTTGTGGTAACAAATCAAGCCATGGGATTGCTCTGGATGGTGGCACACCCATATATGATCACATAGACAATAATATGCATCCCTAAAAAGTTCCTTTAGCAAGTAGAGAACCCAGACAGGAAATATTAGTTCTGGAGAACATTAATGTGGCTCATAACATTTATATCTCAAAAAAAGCTATAATGTCAAACTCCTCTGGTTTCCTTACAACTATAATTTCACACTGTCCAGCAAATATTGCACACAAAGGCAAATAACATTCCTTACAAGGCATGTGAAGGACTGAGCCTGTTTTCACTAAAATCACAGAGATGTAGTACAGTGTTTCTGCAGTTAAAAATGAAGGATTTAAAATGTAATTTAATTTACTTCATGTTTTCCACAGGACCGTCGGATAGAGGAGCTGACACTACTGCTAAGCCAGTACAGGAGGGTCAAGGACATCATGATTGCAGCTCATGGTAAAATGGCTTGGGAATAATGTCCTGCTTTTATTTTTAGTTTATGTGGTGTTTCTTGTGACCATTATGACCTGTGACCACCAGCCATGTTTCTCAGCATAAAATGATCCTAGAGAGGGAGAACTCATTTCCCTTCCACTGAGGAAAACCGTGAGAGCTGACAAGACAAGTTTTGTTTGGAAAGAAAAACTGAAAACCCACATTGCTTTGCTGCACACAGTTCTGTGTATTTAACTTCAAAATCTGAGGGGGGGGGGGGGGAAATCTGTGTCCCATTTCTCCTATACAGTGTAGGAAGTGGAGTGGGTTTTAGGACAATCTTCTTTTAAGTTGCCACCATAATTTTCAGCATTGAATTGAATCTGGGATACTGTACACCATCACATTAACAAGCAATAACAATATTTTTAGGCCTTGCATGGCAGAATGGAAACTTGTGTTTAACACACAAAAATATGGAATGAGAGTGAACGTATTTAACACACAAAATAGAAAATGAGAGTAAATCTCTCTCTGGACGTTCATTACGTAAATAAATAAAAAGAAGCAAGGAGCAAGCCATGATGCTCTAGATTGTTGAGCTGATACTGCAGAGAGCAAACTTTACCAGTTTCTCTCCCTTTCTACTCTCCAATGCTTTCAGGCTCTCCTGTCTCTGGTGGCAGTGAAGAGGAAGTTGAGGCAACTTTAAGGAAGTGGAATCTTCTGAATAACTCTCAAGGGGAATTACTGAAAACAGAGGTACAGATGTTCTAAAAGCAGGTTCTGCTGCATAGATGATTTTTTGCTGTTGGTTTCTCTGTACTAATGTGGGTGAGGGTTCAGCCTTGGCAGAATTTTTGTTTTTATTGGTATGGGCACAGTAGATTCAGCAGAAGACATCAGAGCTACAGGATTGAAACTCTTGTATCTTCCCCAGCCCCCTGCAGGAGAATTGTCACCAGCTGTGCTCCCTCCAGTTCCACACAAAGCCATGGAAATCAGGCGAGACCTTTCTTTCTCCTGTGGTGCTAAATTGTATTATTTAGACTGTTTAACTGTTGGCAGCTTCTCTTGACTATTCTTGGCTTTGCTGCAGTTTGGGGCACTTCTGAAAGCTGTGTTTGTTGTGGAGGTTGGCAATGCTTGGATGTTTAAAGTTTAAATTATAGGAATAATTCAGCATTTTTATATATCATATATTATATATTTATATAATATATATTTTTACAGAATGAATATATTAATATTATAAATATATAATATATATTAATATATATGCTATATATTCTATTATGTTATATTGTTATATATTTGTCTTTCTATTTATTTATATAAAATATATTTCTATATTTATGTCTATATATAATATTTTTATATATTTATATATCAATTTATTTCTGTTTAAAGTGGAAGCAGTCCAGTAGCTTCAAGTAATTTAACCTCTCAGCAGGAAGAATCTCTGGAATTCACAAATAGGTAAGAATAAGTAACTTTCATCAAAATGTGAAACAATTTCCCTTTCTAAAATCCCTAAAGTTTGCACATTGCTCACAGAGAGTTATTGCTGTGCTTGTTAAGAGTTTCTAAAATCATCTAGAGGAACAAGGCTACAACTGCCCACTGGGCCTGGCTTCCTTTCACTGCTGCTCAGAGGATGCCTTGTTGCTCTTTCTGCCTTCATCTGTTGCTGTTCTCAATGCCATGATTTTCAGACTAAAAGCACAATAAAATAAACAAATATCTTAATTCTGAGCTATGTTTCATGCAGACATTATGTGACTTATGCAGCTGTTGTGCATGAGACGCTGGTTATATGCAAACAAACCGTGTTGTATTGACTGCTGCTTCTTTGCCTGTGCCTTTTTTAAGGGTTCCACAGAAAAAAAAGTCCAGTAGTTTAGAAGACTTGCAGAGTGAATCTTTGGAAAAGGTTGGTTTATTTGTAATCACAGCTTCTGGTGTTTAATGTCACAACTAAAAGACAAAGATCGAGTATAAACATTATTTTTGTTATGCATACAGTAACTTTAACCACCACTAACTCTGTATGTGGGGAAAGAGCCCTAAAACAGCTCAGGTTCTTTTCCTCCCCATTTCTAAGCTGGTTGACACACCCATGTGGACACATCTTCAAATTCAGTTTTTGCCCTGAGAGAAAAATATTTAAGTGAAATACAAGAAATGATGAGGAGACATTTTGTTAAACTGCAGTATTATTTTGTTTATCTTTTTTTTTTAAATATATTTTACTTCCAAATCACCAAAAATATTAAGGCAGCTAATCCTGAAAGTAGCTAAATGTTGGGACTGGGTATTTCCATATAGGATTCCTTTTTGGGTGTGTGCATGTAGCAGTGTTTTCCCTAAGCTTTCTGACACAAAAAGCATTCCTGAAGTTGGCGGTGATGCTGCCTTAGTTAGAGCAGCAGGACCACCTCAAGGGCTTTAATTCCATTCCAGAATAAATATTCCCAGTTTGCAAAGCCTTGTTACATTGTGGTCCACAGTCTTGTTTTGTCATTATGTACATGACATTTTTCTACATTTTTGTAATTCTGCTTTGTGAGACTGTTGGTTTTTTCTGTACCCAAATTAGCCTTAATACCAGGTGACCTAGACCCAGTAATGCCATTGAAACCAGCTACCACTCATATGATTGCTCCAGTTCTTAAATTTTTAAAATTTTTTCTTAAAACCTTTCATATATTTCTTGAATTTCTGGAGATGGTAGTGACCAAGTAGAATGAATTTTGTGAAATTTGTGCTGCATTTGTCTGATGGTAGCCACACATGTGACAAATCAGAACTCACATTTCATTCCATGGAGAACTGATAAAGGTTTTCTTGTCATAATTTTAATTATTTTCTTGTCTTAAACCAAAAATCTGAATTTGTCTCTGTGATGTGCTGTGATAAGGCTGGACCTACACATTTGTGCTGGAGTTATTCTGCCTTGCTCAAAGCTAAAAGTCCCCCTGCTTCCAGCAATAATAACAATAAACCACATCAGTGTCCCTGACCTAACTGTGGTGGAATTTTCATCGCTTGGTTTCTGTCAGAGCTCTCTATGGTTTCAGCTGGATCCATACAGGATTGTGTGTATTATTTTATGTCAGTTGTTTTCATATTGGTCTGTTAAACAGCTGTTGTGTTCCCAGCTCAAAGCAATTCTAAAGGGACCACCCAGAAACCTGAAAATAGCAAAATTCCTCTGATCACAACAGAACTTAAACAGGAGTTTTCTAGAGTGGGGAATGAAGAAACACAATTAAATATTGGATTGACATGAAATTAAGAGGTTCTTGTAATATATTGTCCATACATTAAGCACCATCTCTATAGCAATAAGTCTACATTTGATGTTCCATGTATGTATGTTAATACTAACATTTGTCTGTTGCTTTTTTCCACAAAACTTTGACATTGCCCTCCCTGAAACTCCATAGTATGTAGATGGAAAACCACCACAGCCTGTTGTAGAACAAGAGGTATATTAATTGCAACCTTCCCTAACAATTCTCTGGTGTGGTGTGATGTGCTGTGATGGTATGGCTGGTTTGCATTTTATATTCCTTTTCTCTTCAAAATGTTTGCATAGTTCCAGTGCTGACAAACAACACAGGGGGTAAAGATTTGAGAGGGAAATGTTTTGATTTTTTTACTTTTTATCTAGAAGCTTGTTACATGAAGCTGAGGTCAGTCAGTCTCAGAATACACACTGCTGATGTAAGACACAATTTCTCTACTCTTTTTGGTACGAGTCAGGATGTACTCCTGCAGTTGCCAAAAAGGAGCAGGAGTTGAGGACCTGAGCAATCTGGCCTGCATTTGTAGTATCCAAAGAATCCTCTAGGCCTTGGAATAAGAACAGATAAAGTAGTGGTTATCTCATAGAATTTTAAATCTATCATCCTGTCACAGACAATGCTTTGAAAACATTTTGTTGGAGTGGGGTTACTGAATAGGAGCACACTGTACTTTCCTGTGTACTAAATATGGTTTGCCTATTTCCAGTGCAAAGTTTTCCTGTGAAACCTCCATTCTGATACTGAAACATTTCCCAGTGGGAGTTTATTCCAAAACACATATTGGATGTACACCACTCCCCCTAATAATGGCAGCTGGAGCCGCAGGTTCACTGATGTCTCGAAAAGCATCCCTGTCCTGCAGCTTTCACCCACAGTGTTGGCTTGTCCATCTTTTCCTCTGGATTCAGCGTTGAAGAAATCCCAACAGGCCATTTCCAAAACTGTAGGCAAAAGTACATCTGTGAAACATGTGCATTGCCTGGAAAATTAACTTATTAGGCTCAAAACTATCAGATTTATGGGAACGTTTCATCTACCCTTGTGAAAGAAGCAAGGTGCTCAAGTAGATATCACTTGAATGCAAGGAAAATTAGGTTCTGTGATAGAACTGGCATTTATATTTAGCTGTAATTCTTTAAAAATGAAAACAAAAAACCCAGAAAAACAAAACAACAACAACAAATTTCACATTTACGATTCTGTCTATGCAAAGAGATTTTTGTCCTTACAAAAGTTAAATTTCTGTACCCTAACTTTGGCTTTGATTCTTTTACTGTTATTAACAGTGGTAGGAAATACATTTGTGGAAATTTGAGGTGTACAAATACTTCTGGGTTGAATTCCAGTGAGATACAATTGTGAGGCAGAAACAGAGAAAGTCTGGTGGAAAATAGGGGAGAAAAAATGATCTGGGAAATAAGTAAACATATTTTTGGTGCTATCAAAGTTGACCTTGGAAAGATCAAACAATTAAATAGTGACAGGGTCCCAGAGGAAAGGGAGACAGCTAGAAAAATTCTTACGGCAAAACCAGGTAATATTTAACATATATTTTGAAGAAATGCAGAGTGGATGAAGTGGGAGGAGCAGATGAGGGAAGGCAGGGCTGTGTCTTAGCTAGGAAACTGTCAGCTGATGGATGGGTTTAAATTGAGTTGTCTGTAAGCAGGAACATGCAGAGAGTGGAGTCATTTTGTACCATACTTTTTTCTCAGCTTTAAGAACAATGTGCAGCAGATTGCAGATGTTGTGAGCAATTTGAACTTTGTATTTATTTTATCTTTCCCTCTTTTAAAAACAATAGAGTAAGCCAGTGGGGAAAGGCAGCAAGTACCAGACACTGCCAGGAAAGCTGCCCCGAGCCCTGCAGAATGGAGAGCAGGGAATGTACAGCTCCCCAGAGGGACGTGGCACCAGTGATAACGATGACAACGGCGTCCCTGGCCTGAGTATGTACCTGTGCCTCCCCCAGAGGGAAAATCCAAACTGTTTAAGGGGCTGCGATGGCGTGGGATGGAATCTGCTGTGCAGAACAATGCACTGTGATAGCAGAAATAGTCCCATAGCTCATGGCAGAATGAGGGCTGAGTTTAATTTTGAGGGTTTTTTTTTTCTGTTGCACATGACAATACCACTTGAAACTTCATTGTAAAACCATCAAAAACATGAAAATTTTGGGTAAAAATCCCTTTATCAGGACTGTTGGTTGCTTAGCTGTGGGGGACCCACTAGGGAAAATTTAATTTACTACATGCAGAAAAACTTCTGTGGATTTTGGAACTACAAATATATTTCCATTCCACAGCCACAGCCCTGTGGAATCCTGAATTAATTTCTTTTCAGTGGCACCTTAAGCACAGATTTGTTGACAGAAAGGTGTTAAGAGTGAGGCACAGGACCAGGGATTTTTAGGACTGAAGGGCTTAGGAGCTCCGGCACAAGAGTAACCCTTGTGATTCTGAAGTCTTCCTGCACTTCAAAAGTTACAGTGGAATTTTTTTTGTTTGACTGTAGTGTTTTTTTTTCTTTGGTGGGGGTTGGTTAATTTTAAAGCCTTGTGGTCCCTAAAGCTGCTAGCACGCTGCAGTTTCAAGGTTGCAATGGGTTGTGGTAGTTTAGAGGTTTTGAAAGAGCTTTTCTGTGATGGCAATTTTGCAGGCAATGCATGAGCCATGCTGATGTGTCTTTAACTGCAGGATTATCCAAGGGTGGGTGAGCTTGAAAAGGAAAATGTTCTTTTTCTAGAAACAAGCAATGGCTTCTTAAGTACACCAAGTTAAGAGAATTTTTTTCCTGCGGGTTGGTTTGTATCTTGCACGTGCAGTGAATTCATTCCACCTCCAATTCAGTATTTCAGAGCAATTTTTTGATGCAATCTTAGCCACTGCTTCATTTCAGATACTGTGCAGCTTTGTAGAGCTCTGTAGATTTTGCTTAAAGAGCTGAAACTTTCCAAGAATAGTTAGGAAAGCCCAAACAGATCCATTTCCATCCCTACCTGTTTCAGATGATCTGTACAGAGTTTCTGGGGCTTGTGCACACCAATGCCTATTCACTTCCATATATAACTGCTTCTTTTGCGTTTTGTTTCTGCTCTAAATGCTTAGCTTAACTACTTTGCCCTCCTGTAACTTTATTTTGCTGGTGTTTTGTATCTTCTTTGCTTCTCCATCTGGCTTTCTGCTTCTTGGGATGACTGAAGATCGCGGCAGGAGTGTCAGTGCACCTGTGCTAGGTACTGTATCCAAACAAGATGCAACTTTAACACTCAGTTTGCTGCTTGCTTTGTTTTTTTTCCTTTCCCTCTCCCTATGAAATACTAATCCCAGCTGGGCCCTCTAGACTGGACTCCTTATGTGCAGTACTGAAATGAAGTAATAGCTCCTGCTGTGTGGCATTCACATGAGGTTTCTTTTTATGGCACTTATTCCTGGTTTCATTCTGTTTTTCCTGAATTTAGAAAAATTCCCACTGATTTTGATGGAGGAGCTGAGGTATTAAGAGCAGGCAGGAAGACCTTCAATTAATTTAAATAATGTAGTTAAATAGAAAAGACTGAAATAACATAATTATTTTACCCTTTTTTTTTACCCATATTTGTTTTATTTTTTTTTTATTTTAATCTAATGTCCAGATGTTTTTTCACCTTCTGAGCATGTTTGGCTTTTTTAAAAAAAGAATGATTTTATAGGTATCTCTACTTTCGTGTCACGTCCTGCATTTAAACATCAGCCTACCAGACAACAACTTTATCAATAATGAGTATAAAATGTGACTATAATACTGTTCTTAACCCAGGAGAAACAGAGAACATGGATGGTACAGTGGTCTTGGATGACCTCTCACCTCTCTCTTCGGGAACGGATTCAGGTCCACAATCTCCATGGGCTCCAGAAAACAGAAAGAGTCCAAAAGGGATCAAGAAAATCTGGGGAAAGTAAGGTCTTTTTTTTTTTTAATTGTAATTCACTGTCAAAGCATTTCAGCTGAGAATGAATTCCAGCAAAATCTACAATTATCTATAGCAAGAATAAACTAAAATTTGGGGAGCAAAAGCAGCTCTGGGATTGCCACAGGTGTGTCCTTTTGTACACAGGAGGGTGGAAAAAATGTTGGGAGTGTTCACAGCATCATGCTGGTGAAAGAAATAAGGCACTGCTGTCATCTTAATGCTATTCATTTAGCATGCCAGCAGTTTTATTAGCCATGAAAAATTAAGTTATAGCAATTTGCTCATTACAAAAGACACCAGCTAAAAAAAAAAGGGGAAAACAGAATGAACAGAAAGCAGGGCACAGTTGCACTCTGTGTCCACTTGATCTGCTTCAGCAACAGCAGCCATTTCCAAGTCTGCATTATTAATTGGATCAAAGTGTTACAGCTGCTCTGTGGAGCTCCTTTATTTTCCTCCAGAGCTAGATCCAGACTGAATTTCCTAGAACTCCTTCAGCTGCCTCTGGAATTTGGCAATTGCTGTTTCCAGGGAGATCCACCGAGCTGTCAGTTGTCACTGTAGTTTCCATGCAGAACAAACAAATCCTCTGTCAGCAGCTAACAGTCCTGTCGTGGCACTCTTGTCTTGCAAGAATTCGAAGAACTCAGTCAGGTAACTTCCCTGCAGACGACCTGGGGCTGGCAGAGTTCCGGAGGGGAGGTCTGCGGGCAACAGCTGGACCTCGTTTATCCCGATCCAAGGACACCAAAGGCCCGAAGAGGTAACAGCTCCTCCTCCTACTGCCCCAGCACAGCCTGCTGCTGTTAAATGTGTCCAAGAGCCAGTCCCTCCTCCTGGGGACTTCACCCAAGCATTTCGGTCCACGTGGAATTCCACAACAGATGGAGAGAATTTCCCTGGTAGCAAAAATCATCCCCTGCCTGCGCTCCTCCAGCTGCAAGTTGCAGCTGCTTGGTGGAGTGTCAGAAATTTCACCGTGTTAAAGAACAAGGATAATTACCTCCTCATCTGCATAATGATGAGGATTCAGCAATTCTCTTTTCCCTCTTTTCAAACAGAAGATGGGAAGTTCTTATCTGCCCTGCAGCTGTTCACAGGTGGTGATCAGCAGATCTGCTGCTGTGCTGCCTCTGGCACACCCTAAGCTTTCCAATATGGACATTCCTTCTTTCCTTTAAGGTTTTCCCAATGTTTCTTGTGCTTTTCAGTGACCACAATGCCCCCTTTGCTCAGTGGAGCACTGAAAGAGTTTGTAACTGGCTGGAGGACTTTGGCCTGGGCCAGTACGTGATTTTTGCCCGGCAGTGGGTGACATCAGGCCACACGCTGTTAACTGCCACTCCTCAGGACATGGAAAAGGTAATCACTGCTGATTCTGTCCCACCAGGCCCCTCCAAACCATTGGCTCTACCTTTCTGAAATCCACAGTATCAATTTTCAGAGTTACCTCACGTGAGGAAAGGAGCCAGAGGCAGGGCAAACTTTTTGATAATGTTTTTTTTGTTCCAGGAAATGGGAATAAAGCATCCATTGCACAGGAAGAAATTGGTTTTGGCCATTAAAGCTATAAATGCAAAACAAGATGAGAAGTCTGCACAACTTGATCATATCTGGGTGACACGTAAGTGTTTGGACTCTCCTGGAGTTGGTTGGGAAGGAATTTCTTCACCTCTATAACAGGGCAGCCTGATTCATGTTTAAACACTTACCAAACACCTTTTAAAAAGCACCAAGTTTCCCCATAGAAGAATTGAGGAATTTTGTGTTGTTCTTGACATCCAAACATACAGCTTGTGGTGTGTTCTTCCATGGGGAGCCCTGTCAGACAGCAGGAAATCAAATGGGTGGGGTCAGGCTAGGAAGAGCTCCATTGTGCTGCAGAAGGTGTGCTCCATCAGGTGTTGTAAAATCAAATATCACAGGGGCGCTGTGGACAAAGCTGGTTGGTGGGAATTGCTTTCAGGCTGCTGGCAAGAGGCTGTCCTCAGGAAAGGGGAACAGGTAGCATGAGCCACCTGAATGCCACAAAAGAAGCCAGGCCAGGCAAGAGGGGAGAAGGGTTTTATTCTCACCGATCTGGATTTGGTTCCCCATTGCCCTCATACCTGCAGGGTGGCTTGATGACATTGGCTTGCCTCAGTACAAAGACCAGTTTCATGAATCCAGAGTAGATGGGAGGATGTTGCAGTACTTAACTGTGGTAAGTACAGTCCTTTTTCCTCAGTTTTCTGAATAAGCAAAAACTTTTAAATTTTTCCTTTGAATGTGAGCAGTTAAAGAATTTTTGCAAGACAGAGATAGTGCTAGTAATAACTCCTTTGTGCTGCCTAGTGCATGGAATTTGTTCCTAAGGTCCATAAAATAAATCACGGGTTAGGGCTAACTTCTGCAAAGTCCTTCTTTCATATCATGTAGCACACCACAGTTAAAAGTAAAATGACCTGTTTTACATGTAACCTCTGGAGCTCATTGTTCTCTACACCAAGTTAGCAACAATATTCAGCAAAGTAACAGCAGAAAATCCATTGATTTGTACAGCTCTGACCACATCCACAGCACACCATGAGCCACAAACAGCCACTGTTTTCTTCCCATTCTCCTGCCCAAGTCTGGATAATTAAGTCCTGGATTTGCCTTAACGGGCTACACTTGTGCCTTCATTTTTTAGCCAGGTCTTGCTAGGATGCAATGTTTAAAAAAAAAAACCAACAAACCAACAACAGAACCCACTCCAAACTTCCACCCTAACAAAACCCAAACCTTCTTTAAAGTATAAACTTTCATCTTCCCTAAACCACAGTTACATAAAAATACACAGCAAATTTAAACTCTTTCTTCCTGGCGAGAATATTTGTTTTGGTGTGTGTTCTGTGCCACCTAAATGTCTTTCTCCTTCACAGAATGACCTTCTCTTCCTGAAAGTCACCAGTCAGCTGCATCACCTGAGTATTAAATGTGCCATTCATGTGCTGCATGTCAATGGCTTCAATCCCCACTGTCTGCGCAGGAGGCCAGTTGAGGAGGTAAAGGAATGCTGAAATAAATTAATTTAAGCAAGCATAAATTACCTGGTCCCACCCAAAAGGGATAGAAAGTCAGCAGTGTACAGTGATACAACACTGTATTGTAGGGACTTGCACCTAAAGCAGCAGTTATGCCACTTATTCATTGAATCTCATGCATTTCTGTTCAGAAGTTTACTTGCATAGTGGGAAAAATGATAATTCATCTTCCAAGAGAAGAAATTTGGAATCATTTGTCTTCACCTGACCTAATTTTTAAAATCTGTAAGGTTCTACCCGATCAGCACAGTTTTTTCTTTGCATTAAACACTGTCAATAACCCTGTTGTCAAACATTCCCTTTTTATCCCTGTAATCTGCAATCTCTGCTGTTGTACTTCCTGATGCAACACATGGGGTTTCATCAGTATTAGACCAGGTCTGCCATCTCAGCAGAGATTCCTTGAAAGGGACCTGAAGAGAAACAATCCCTCAATCAGGGAAGAACAAGTGCCCTTGGAGGAAGAGGAAGGAGGCTGTTTTTATCTGAGCTGAGATACAAGCTGTGCACATTCAGTGCAGGCCGTGGTGTCATCACCTTTTGTGGTTCCTCCAACAGAACAATGTCTCTCCTTCCGACGTGGTGCAGTGGTCCAACCACAGGGTGATGGAATGGCTCAGATCTGTGGATCTGGCAGAATATGCACCCAACCTTCGAGGCAGCGGAGTGCACGGGGGCCTCATCGTAAGAATTTACCATTTCACTACTAAAAAATTGACTGTAATATCAAAAATTCAGTCTGTAATATAAACCATCTTTTGTCTGATGTTCATCAAGCTGAAAGAAACAAGCACATCTGCAATGTGACAGCATGATCAGGTCTTCTAAGGAGCCTCTTTGTCTGATCCACGCATCTTCATTTTACAAAAGAAAGCTAAAATAACAAAGGAACAGCTAAAACACTTTCTGTAATCAAAGCTGAACTTTGCACAAGTGTATGACAGCAGCACAGAAAAGGAAACCTCAACTGTGCTGTGCAAAAGTTGCTTTTTGATAAGGCATCCCTGAGTGTTTCTTTGAGTGATTTACCAGAACTCTGAGCCACACTAAATAACCACGCTGAAATCACAGCAGTCAGGAAATGACATTTTTTTTAATTCAAAACATTCAGAACTATTTGCAGCTCAGTGAAATCAGGGTTCTGAAATACCATGATTCAACTGCTGTAGAATTTTTGCAAAAATACAATGGTAGAAATCCTACTAAGATTAAGTTTTTACTCCTAGTAGAGCAGGAAATTCTGAAAGGAAACTTGTTCAACCCAAACAAATGTATGGTTTGATGATAAATATAGGCACATATTGATGGGTTTGATAATAAATATAAACACATATTTGCCTGATCATGCTCAGCATTTTTTCTTGGCTCCTTTCAGTTATTTCCCATTCAAACCCCAGTATCATGAGTGAGCTATGAAAGGTCTAATGTGAGCAGGTACTTGGTGAGAAATCCTCTGCTAAGCACTGTAGTGGTTTATTATTGCAAATATTGATATAAAAAGTAAACATCCTGCCCTTTTCCCAGATTCTGGAACCTCGCTTCAACGGTGACACGCTGGCCATGCTCCTGAACATCCCACCCCAAAAGACCCTCCTGCGCCGCCACCTCACCACCAATTTTAACGTGTTAATTGGGCCAGAGGCACAACAAGAAAAAAGAGAAACCATGGAGTCAGCAGCATACACACCTCTGACAACCACTGCCAAAGTTCGGGTATGTACTGCCATCAAAAAGGAGAGATGTCAGTGTCAGACCTCTCCACTCTGAATTACAGAGAAAGTAAGGAACAAAAGTGGGCAGGGAGAGGTGAATTTTAGGAGTGCTACATTTCCCTTAATTTTAGATACCAGACCTTTTGCTATGTATCTGTTTCAATCAGGTCCTGAAAACAACCAAGCAATCTGTTCTGCCTTTCCTTAGAAGGAGCATCATGCAAATGTATTTAACATCCCCTGCAATTCCAACTTGAGAACAAATGTAGTTAATTCAGAATCTACGTTCTTGAATGACCAGGGTATAGCAGTAATTGAAAAAGGGGAGGATTTTGAATGTTTACAGAACAACTTTACTTGTTTTACTCAAACAACTTGTGTTGACTCCTTATTTTAGCCAAAGAAACTTGGATTTTCGCATTTTGGAAACTTAAGGAAAAAGAAGTTTGACGAATCAACAGACTACATTTGTCCTATGGATACAAGCCCAGCTGCTACGAATGGTACTTCAAAAAATTACGGTGGCTACAAAGGACTTAGTCCTTTCACTGACAGGGAACTGGATCAGGTGGGACAGACAGACTGATGCCATGCTCATCTCATCCTCTCCATGCATTCCAAAGCTTGCAAATAACCAAATGTTCCCCTATAACAAACTCTTTGCTACATCCGCATGAACTCACAGAGAAAAGTATTGGCTGTGGACACTGGAAAGAGTTCCAGACTAAGAATGTTGGGGGTTTTTTTAGTCAACATCATAATAAGCTCATCCATCCTCAAGCCCTTTTTCAGGACTATGACACCTTTACACTCTGAAGATCGAGGTATTTTGTCAGTCAAGGGTGTGGTTGCAGGAAACATAAGACTTTTGTACTTTTAGCTTTCATAATTTTAGTATGGCACACTATTTTTTTTCATTATCTTTATGGGTTGTTTTTAATGTAATAAATTCATTTGGTCAAACTTGTACAAAGCTATTGAGTTATATTAAAGTACAACTGGATTGTATTTTTTAACAGACAGTAATCAGAGAATCCAACTGAACTTTTCTTTCATGCTGTACAGTGGGGAGTAGTTTTGCTTAGATAATATACATGAAGACAATGCATCAGCAATGAACAAATTATTAATAAACCAATAGTTAATTCACTTTTGCAATGTAGTAGTGAACTTGTGAATGAAACTGTCTAGACAGCATACAGAGAAATGATGATAAAAACCATCAAATTTTATTTCAACCTTGCTGTTGTGTAAAGGGATGTAAACCCTGAAAAAGGGAGCATTCCTGGAGCCTTGTGTGAACTTCGGCAACACACAAGAGCCACACAGAGGCAGCTGGAGTAAACTGGCCTTTCTCCAGTGACATAAAAACGGTTTAAGCCTGATAAGAGAATGGTCACAACATTGAAAAGACTAACTGTGCAGGTAATCTTTTCATTTGCATGGTTCAGTGCATCTAACATCTCATTTGTGTTCACTGGCTAACCGTGGTCTTTTTCAATGTACTTATTCTAAACAGGAGAATACCAAACCCTGACTGTGAGTGTGGATGTCCACTTGCTCAGCTAGGAGTTGTGAGGGAATGCATTAACTTTGAGCCAAGAACTTGCACTGTGCAGTTGTTCAAGCATGACAGAAAGACTGGATTTTTCTCTAGGAGCATGGTCTGTCTATTAAGCATGACTTCTGAGCAGGAAATCACAATACCCTAGAACTGGTGACATTCCTATGAAAAAAGAGGTAGGATTGTATCAAGGACTTCTTGCCTGTGAAAGCCTACCAGAAATAATAGTGTCAGACCATTTAGAAAATATTACTTTTCATTGATAGTATCAGTTACACTTTTTTTTTCTGTGAATTAAAGGCCAAGTTTAATGGAATCAATCTCTCTTAATCAGGATTCACTCTTCCTATCATTAAATGCATTTTCATATACCTTGTAGCACAGAGGCATTTTTGTTAAGGAGCTATTCAACTTACCCCAACTTCATTTGTCCAGGCACAGATCCCTCCCAAAGCTGCATGTAGTGAATAAAATTGCACATGCTGTCTGATTTGAACTAGTTGCTGACTGCTTTTACAGATGGAACACTCAGAAGGCACAGTAATGCAAATAGGGGCTCTTTCCGAAGGCATAACCCACCTCACGGTAAGTACTGGTTCCTCTCTTGTTCCAAAGTCACCCATGTGCTCTGCTAAAACTCACTGAAAGTTGGTCATTGATGGTGGTAATGAAGAGTAAGTGGGTCTCTGTTCTTGTTAAGTATCTCTTTAAAGTCTGGTGGGACATTCAGTCAAAAAAAAAATCCCTGCTTTTAAATTGCTCTGGAAATTAAGCTTCATTTAGGCCTAAGTTTTCATGAACTCTGATGGCTCTTTGACAAAATGACAGATATTCATCTCCTTAAATAAAAACAATTCTTCAAAGATTTTACAGGTAACCACCACCTCAGCTAGGAATGAGGTACAGACTTTCGAAAATTTACATGAGCTAAAACTCTCTGCAAAACCAAACACCTCACTTTTGCTTCTTCATTCCACAGAAGCCATTAAGAAAATAAACATAAGTGACTGGAAGACATAATGAAGAATTATGAAATATAGTTGAGTTGCATGCCAGACATATAATCTCTACAAGTTTCCCCACACAAAAAAAAAAGTTTATTTAAAGCTGTAATGAAGAAATTCCCTTTGATTGTGTGTGGCTCTCACCTCCTGTGTTGTGATCCCGAGCTCTTTGCAGCTGGGTCTCTGGGAGCACAGGCCTCTCACCAAACACCCTCAGTCCTTCCCATCTTGTTTTTTTCAGACACTGCTGAGCCAGGATGAAATGCTAAATGACAGCAGGTTTTTAACACCCACCTTTGAAGACTGGAGATGATGCTTCAGCAGGACCAAGATCACTGCTCGTACCTCACGCCTGCAGGAGTGGCCAGGAGCAGCTGGATGCTGTGGAGCAGGAAAGCTTTGCCTCTTTTCTGCCACTGCCACCTCCCACCTAGCATTTCCTACTGTTAGTGTAGCCACAGCTTACAGGTAACTCTCCTCTGTGCTGTTTTCCCACATCATGTAATAGGAAACAGGAGTTGGGAGAGGAGTGGGACTCAGATCCAGAGTCTGGAAAGCCAAGACTGGCATTGCTTTGTCCTTTCATTCACTTGACTTTTACATGCTATGTTGATGTACTGTTACATGAAAGACCTTTTGTAATTTTTAATTTTTATAATTAACTTGTAGTGCAGGAATCATTAACACATAATTGTACCACAGGGGCTAATCAGAGCTACCTGGAATTCAGCTGGATGCTGGTGAGAGCAGCAGAAATGGCTCTCTCACCACTCCTGTGGTCTTGCCAGACTGGTCCCCAGAAAGGATTTCAATCTCTCCTCCCTTTCACTGGCACCTGTCCTGCCCTCTCTTTATCCAAGTCAGTGCACTGTAGGATGGGAAGAATGGAACACAGTACTGTCCATCTAACCCTTGCTTTTATTAGGATGACAAGCTGCCTTGTTCACAAATCTTTACCTAAGGCAAAAACAACTGCAGCAGGAAATTGTAACTCTGAGACTACCAGGAAAGTACCAGAATAAAACAAAGATTTATTTCTTTAAAATACCTGACAAAATAAATCTTCTACTGCTGTACTGGGCCAGACAAGACTGCACCAAAGGGAAGTATGGCCTCTCACTTTTTGAGGGGCTGAGGGTGAAGTTGTCACCTTTACAGCACCAATTACTTGTGGCATTTGTTTACATGTACATCTCCTGTATTAATGAGTTATTAACAAGCTCTCTTAGTAAACAGATAAATGCCAGGAAAAAAAAACCCTTAATGGTAAGGAAAAATACTTTGTACAGGGCTGGTTTTCATTACTCTCTCCTTGCTGGCTGCAGGTGTTGCTTTAGATTCCAATACAGCCCTCCCAAAGAAAGAGGGAAGCTCCAGGGCTGGCCACAGGATGCAGCAAGAGCTCTTTGAGAACTACCTGGGGTGGTTTTACAGATGATCCACCCTGGTCCTCACTTCACCAGTCTCTCATGACAGACCTTGCACTGTATGGTCAGGTGTAAGAAGATAAACACATGATTTGATTGTCCACAGTGGTAAAATCAAGGCTAATTCTTTTCAATCACTGCAAACTGAAAAAAAAAGGAAAATTCAGAAAAATGAGAAATAAGTCTATGCATCAGCAAACTACTCATGTTTAATAAAAGCTATGAAACGTACCAGTCTGGCAATGCAGTCAGTGCTAGAGACCAGCTCAGGTACCATGGGCATTTAAAATACTTTGTCAGGTCAATTAGCCAACAGACTTATTACAGCACTGCAAATGGGATGGGCTGCTCCAGCTGCTCTGAGATATTCCAAACACAACACTTACTATTGTCTTTCAATGCTGTATTTACAACTCAGTGTAGTGTTGTGCAAACTTGGCTGTGAATAGTCAATCCACAAAACAGTTGATTCTTCCTTTAAATATATGTAGTAGGAAATCCTAATTAGCATAACACTGGTATAAATGCTTATTTTTTGACTGTTATGAATAAATTCTCAATGTTCCCCTCTCTTTTGCTGACCGTGGAATGATTTAATACAAATCCATGTGGATGACACTTCATCTTTATTTATTTTTCCCTCAGAATTAATATTTTACACTAATTCCAGAGGTAAGACTAAGTAACTCCCATACAATTCAAGATGACATCTCAACTTCTTAGTATTAAAACACATAATGTAATTATGAAGTTATAAACCACAGAAATAACATCAAGGTGTTAAAAAACACACACACAAAATTGCTAATTGCTGCACAGTTGTACATCAACTGTTCTTGTAGAAAAATATGCAGTACTTCCAAAAAAGGTACCAGGTGACATCAGTATTAGTAAGCAAATGTACTGCTCTTGGGATAGCCAAGCTTGTCCAGGTTGGGCTGACAGGCAAACTGAATCATTGGTGGTGGCCCACACATAAGAATGAGGGTCTCACTGCCAGGGGGAGGCAGGTGGGCTTTCAGCATGTCTGCAGTGACAAAGCCAGAGCTGTACTTCCAGTCTGCAACAAAGAAATTAATTCAATTACTCTGAATCTCTGTACAGGCTGAAACCTCTTTAAACCTCATTAAGTAGCTGGAGAATCAAGTTATGGCACTGTCACTGCAAGCCAGGAAAGGGTTAAATTTCTCACTCAGCTCAAACCTAGTGATCCTCTTCCACAGGGACAACAAAAGTGGATAACAAGGATTTGGGTGATAAGACATGGAGGTCTTAAAACAATAAATTATAAAATTTAGAAGAAATGAGCAGGTAGAAATAAAAAGGAAGAGTGAATCAGCTTTTCCAGTGAAGAGGGATCACCCAGTGGCAGGGAGCAGTATTGAGACCTGTACCTTTTTTTTTTTTGAGATGGAGTGGTGAGGTGACAAAGTTTAATGTCAACAAAAGCTCTGCCATGTCGTTTAGTGATAAGAGAAAACAAATTAAAAGAGGAAATGCTAAACTATTTCAAGCAGTAGTATAATTGAATGCATTTGCCATCTGAAGTGAGCCAAGAAGGAAAAATGATGCTTAATTCATACACATGGCAACTCTGTTTCACCAGAATCTAATCTGCTGCTGCAAAACAAAGATGTGCACATAATATTTACAGGTATTAAACAATTTAATGTCAACAGCATGCTAACATAACTTCATTTGGGAGATAGCCCAAAACAGAGCTGAACTTTTGATGAAAACTCTCAAAAACTGGAATACATGAAAAGATGCACTGAGTAACACATCTGACCCAAATGAGGTTAATTGTGAGCTCCCACTTTTTAAGTCCCCACCTGGCTTAGATCCCTTTTTAAAACAGGGGTGTGGGGTAAGGTTTGTTTCAAAGTGTAAGACAAGAACATTTTACATTACTCTGCTGTCCCCTTGAGCACGAGTGAAGCTCTGACAGGGATAAGCAAGGGCATTTCCATGTGTCCCTACCTTTTGGAGGTCTGTCCAGGGTGTACCACAAAACAAACTGCTCAGGATGCCTCTTGGCAAGGTCTTCTAGCTCAGCTCTCAGCAATATATCATTTTCTGTCTGCAAAATGAGAATGCTGGTTAGCTCCAAACCATCACAGGAGCCCTCTGCTGGGAGCTCATCTGCCATTCACAACAAATGCAATGATAAAAACTATGTAAATCAATAAATTCATTGGTATTTTGTCCCCTCCATGGCAGCTATTATCATTACAGGCTTCTGTAAAGAACAACAAACTGTGAGAATTACAGCCACGTAAACACAGTCCTAAAGATGGCAATTAGAACAACTTTTTAATCCAGGCTAAAATCACAACGAGCTGGATTTGTCCCTGACCCTGGCAAATGTCCCTGGACCAGCATGGTGAAGGTTAGCTGTATAAAAGGATTAGTGGAAACAAATCCTTTTTCCTTGAAATCAGTGAAGGACTCAGATGAGCAGAGGGATTAGGATCTGGTTGCTGTTACTCCCTAATGTAGGAATTCAGTGAAACTATGAGGAGACAGCTAATTGGGAAGAGTATGAAACAAGGGCCATCGGTTTAAAAAGCTCAGAGGCCAGCAAAACCAAGTAGGCTATTAAAGAAGAACAAACAGATGGGTCAGAACACTCACCTGATTAGCAAAAAGGAGGTAACATTTTGTGGAGTCCTTAGGATCATTTGTGATCTGACGGATCAGCTGCAACATAGGAGTTATTCCTGTTAAAAACCAAAATGGTTAAAGTGGGTATTTCTTTCCATGGCTACAGTTTCACTGTGAATGCTGCCTCACTTTAGTCTTCAGTGGGATCTCAGTCTGCACAGAGCTACACACCTCTGGATTTCTAATCCACATGGAGTGCAGAGATTGGGGGTTTCTATTATGACAAACAGTTCCAGGACAAATTCACAATTCTTGTATGCAGGGCTTTCTCTTCAGGATTGTCCATCACATAATTTTACCCCTCAAGACATGCTCTTAAAATTCTTTTTGTCACTGATGAAGTGAGTTCTCTGAGGTCACAAGGTAAATTAGGATTCAAACCCTCAGGCTGCCACTCCCCAGGACTGAGCTCAAACCACTGGAATGCCTCACTGTTGCCACCATGAAAATAAATTAATGAAAAGAAATGTAGGTGTGTAAATACTCTGCTACTAAAGTACAACAGGGGTAGTCCTCACATATATCCAAAAAACATTTTCATTCTCTAGACACCCCACATGATGGGATTAGTTTTACCTGTTCCTCCAGCTATCATCCCAAGGTGCTTTGCAAACTTTTTCTCTGCTTCAGACTTCTTATTAGGCTTGATAAGAAAGGTACCTAGAAGAAATATTCCAAATCTATAGGTACATTAGCTTCCAAACAAACATGGACACAAATTCCATGGGAATAAATTACCACAGGTGATCAATTAATTAAAAAAAATAATTGTGGAAATCCCTCCCTTCTGCTGAGATAGAGTAAACAGGAGAGAGGTCAGCATCCAGAGAAGTGCTGAGCATTCTGAGGTGAGACTTAAGTGCACAGCTCCTCTCAGTAAAGATCAGTGCAAAATCTTTCACCTGTATCCTACAAGAGGATTATTTCTCTGAGCTTATTTCCTCACAGTCAACTCAGACCTAATTTTAATTATGAAATGGAGCTAGCTCTCAGTCAGCTGGTTATTCAGTAACAGCACAGAGATTCTCAGAGGACATTTTAGGCCACTAGCTCTCAGTCAGCTGGTTACTCAGTAACAGCACAGAGATTCTCAGAGGACATTTTAGGCCACAACCTCACTTGCTTAAGAAGCATCTAGAGCATCTCCCTCCAAATGTATAGCTAAGGTATTTTATTTCCAGTGCAGACTTCTCAGTCATTTTAGGGAATAGCAATTTTTTTCAGATTTATAGTCCCAGGAGTGAGACACTCATCAGTTATTCCATACACAAAGTACTCTTTCCCATCATACCAACTCTGACAGGCTCATGGTCAAGTCCAGGAAAGGTGATTTTTCCTCTTTTCCACTTAAAAAAATATTCTCTACAGCTGTCAAGTTTTATAAAACACCGCTAAAAATAACCAATACCTCCCTTTTGCTCTCCCACCTTTGTGTCACAGTACCTGTCCCCTTATAGACCAGGAGTCCATTTGGCCCTCTGAAATCAATGGTGTCTCCAATCTTCATGTTATTTAGATACTGGGACATCTTCCCACCTTCTGGAAACTTGGGGTTCACATTTTTGTGGTAGACCTGTAAGAACAATTATTTGCACATAATCAACCACTAACTTTCCTACAGACAGTATCTGTAGAACATAATTCTGCAGGTCTGAAATTCAACACCTGAGAAATAAATCCAGGTAATTCTTTGCTCCCAGTTATCTTGTGAGCCTTGCAACAGGAAGCAGCCAAAAAAAGTAAAATTGGGCACATGTCCCTCTGCTCCCTGCAAACAGCCAGGATAACAGGGATGGGTGGCAGGCAGATTAGGGACTGCTGCCCTATTATGTCACCCCATTTTTGTGGCTGTTCCTTCTGAAAACAGCACTGTTGCATCTTTTCCTTATAAACCTTTCCTAGTCAGCCACACAACAGCTTTTTCAGCTTTCAAAGCATGAAAGAAGCATTAAGCAGCTCATAACAATTCACCACACTTGTAACATGAAGAACAGAACATGCAAAAAATAATTTTTAAAAAGCCTGGATTTTTGCCTAAGGACAAACTCTTTCATAGAAAAGGATTAGGAAATCCAGAAGTCCTGGGATCAGATAACCCTGCATCCCCTAGCTTAAAGGATTTCCCTTGTGTGACTTGTTTTCTGCTTAGAGCTGTTTGCATTAAGCAGTAGCAGCAGCACAGGCATCTAGAGGAAGAGAGATAAGTATCCACGTGCTGCTAAGTAAAAGATATTAGGGAAATTCCTAAAGTATTGCCAGGGAAGTGATTCTGTCCTCCCTCTACTTTTCCTCTGCCATCCCTCAGTGCCACACAGCAGATACACAGGACACAACTTACTATTCAAGGGCAATGAGTTGTTTGCCATGCAGTCACCCTATTTGAAAAATATGAGATTTGATGAAAACGAAATCTAATAAAATTTGAATTAAAGACAACGAAATTTGATTACTAAATCAAAACAAACTATTTCACTAAAATGAAGTGCTTGCTCTCCTTCCAGTTAGCAACTTACCTCTAATAAAGGAAACCAAAAATTACCTTTATAATTAAATCAACATAACCTTTTGCCTCATCACTGGAAATGGGGGTATAGGCTCGAACCACCAGATTCCCATCAATTTTTGCAGAAAGGTAAACATGCTGGCCTGAGGAGAAAGAATTACAATCTGATTATCTTTTTCACCCATGCAGGACAAGAGAGAAACGCAGGTATTGTAACCTGCTTGTGTGTAACCTGCATGAGTAACGCATGCAATGACAGAGAAAATCTTTGCCATATAAATGCTGCATGAAACTTTCAGTTTCTTCTCTTTTTTCAGCACAGAGCAGGCATCTCCCAGGCAGTAATACAGTTTCAGGATCTTATTCCTAAATTCTTAAGAATGAACCTGGATAAACACATGCACTGCAGAGCACATCTCAGCTGGTTTACCATTTGTCTAGTTAATTCCATTACTCTTTTCCATACAAGCCAGAAGAGAGTTTGGAGAAAAACAGGCAGCATGCAAGGACATGCTCAGAGCATGGAATGGGATGACCCTGACACCTGCCATACAGCTCAGGGAACTGCCAAACAGTGCAGAACAAACAGAGCCACATCTGCAGATCAGAGAGAGACTTTCCCCTGCAGAGATTTTCACTGACTCAAGGTCCAAGGTTCAGTGCTATCAGTGTTCCAGGGCACAGGAAAGAAGGCCAATCCTAGGCTGAAATTCGTGCTACAGAACTCCAGATAAAGTTGCATGGAAATGTGTGTAATTCAAAGGGAAGTGCATGCACAGGAAAGGCTCTGAATATTTCAGCACGTTCCCAGGCAGCAGAGTTGCCCCCTTTCTCTTTTACAAGTATTTGTATTTGCCAAAACCATGAGGACAATTGCCAATAGACTGAGGGGACCAGATGGAAGTAAAAGGCAAATAAGAAACATGAAAAAGCTTTGACATACATATACCACTCTTGCTTATATCCTGACTGGTGACAAATTCCATCAGGCTCAGTTCAGTCTCTGCTCCATTTCTAACCTACACCACACAACTGGACAAAGCACCCACAAAAGATCCGAAATACAACCCCTCTGGGAAACCTGACATTTCTCTCTGAGACAGCAGCATTCAGATGCAGCTTTCAACTCCTTGCTTTGCTGAGCCTTAAATTCACAGTCAGAAGTCCAAGAACTGTGAGAAACTAGAAATACAAGTAATTGTTTACAGTACTTGCCTACAGGTAATCCTAATATGTGATTCGTTGAGGGTAGCCCAAATCTGAATTTCTTGGTATCGTGACTGATTTCCTAAAAAACCAAGGTTAGAATGAGGTCAGCATCACCACTACTTTGAATTTCAAACTCTACTCAACACAATATGCTTCAGCAAGCCTGCTCTTTGTTAGCATGCAAGCCTAATACTGGGAAAGGACACAGAAAACAGCTTTGAAAAACAAAGTTGAAATAACCTGGAGTCTCAGAAGCCATCTTCTCCTCTTTACCTTCACAAGGAGTGACTTTTGCCGGCCTGCACAATCCCTACAGCATCTTTACGTAGATAAAACCAGGAAACTCTGTGCCCAAGGCTAGTGAGCACATTGCATGCTTGCAGACAAAGATCAGGAAACACAGCCGTGCAGCAGCTCCGGGCTTGCTTCTCATGGTGCAGCCAGGACAAGATCCGAGGAAGGAACACAGCCAGCATACAAACATGCAAAGCATCGGGAAACAGCAGTTCGCAGCGTGCCATAAACTCTTTTACACACCCTGCTCTACCCTGGGGGCATCACAGTGTGGCTGCGGGAGGCACAGCCATCCTTGGAGAGCTCCCTGCCCTGCTCTGGGGATTCGATCCCTGGGGTAGCCCAGGGTCAAGAGCCTCCGAGGCCAGCGCACCTACTGCCCTCGGACCCTCGATGCCCCATGTCCCCAGAGCCCCGGGTACCTCCTTGTCCAGCAACCGCAGCGGGTACTTGGCCAGCGGGTCCTGCAGGGTGACGGGGCGGCTCGGCCTCCGCGCCGTCCCTCGGAGCAGCAGCAGCAGCAGCGCCGACGCCGCCACCACGGCCACGGCGATGGCCACAGGCGCTCCCTGGCAAGAGAAGAAGGGCAGGCGGTGAGGCCACGGCGGCCGTGAGGGGCACGGCCCTCCCCAGCCCCAGCCCCAGCCCCAGCCCCAGCCCTCACCGCAAACGCCTCCATGGCAGCCTTGCCCGCAGCTCCCGCCGCACCGGGCCCGCTCAGCCACGGCCTAGCATATCCCGCCCCGCGGTTCCTCCTCCCGGTTCCGCCTCCTGCTCCTTCCTCGGGTTCCTCCTCCCGGCTCCTCCTCGGCTCCCGCCTCCTGATCCTTCCTCGGCTTCCTCCTCCCGGCTCCTCCTCGGCTTCCGCCTCCCGGTTGCTCCTCCTGGTCCTGCCTGGGGCTGGGCCCGGACAGTGAGGGGAGCTCCGCTCCGCCCTCAGCCCGGGCGGGTCAGGCTGTGCCGGGGGTCGAGTTCTTGGTGTCAACAGAATCGATGAGGTTGGGAAAGAGCTCTGGCATCACCGAGGCCAAAGTGTGACCGGACACAGCCCGTGGCACTGAGTGCCGTGTCCAGCCTTTCCTTAAACACCTCCGGGGACAGTGACCCCGACGGCAGCCCCTTCCAACGCTTCACAATTCTTTCTACCAAGAAATAGAAAAGGAGGATGTGAAAAATGCATGTATTTTATGATTGGCTGTTCACAAATATTAAAATGAATATTATGTGTGTTGTGTTAGAAAGTAATGCTGTATTAATTCTCTTAAGTACTGTGTTAAATACAGTTTTAGATTATAAAAAATGTTAAAATAGAAACTATGCTATGTAGGATACTTTTTATAAAGAAAGGACTCACAGTGAGATAGCAGACACAGGACACCTAAATCTTTCAGAGAAAGAGAATTTATTGCCCTCTTATCAGAAGAAATTAACTTCTTCCTGCCTCGAAGGCGCTGTTAGGATTCAGAGGAAGAAGTTGACGATGACCACACAGAATCCTGTATTTGAATGGAATTTATGCATCATATATGAAGTGTATGAATATGCAACTGGTTATTGCTTTTAAGGGTTAATCCTTTGTTGACGTGGGTCCTTTTTTGGACTTACGCTTCCCGTAAAAAAGGTACCCGGACGTCCGTAATTCTTTGTATTTATTGTCTCATATTGTCCTAATTCAATTTGTCCAAATTGTTATTACTCTAATTGTATTACTACTTTTTATAAGCATTTTATTACTATTAAACTTTTAAAATTTTAAAAACAAGTGATTGGCGTTTTTCACAGAGTGCAACAAAGTCAAGCTGGTCAGTTCAGATGAAGAAATAGCAGTGTTCCTGTGCACCCAATGCGTGGCAATTAATGGATTCCTAAATGAGAAATAAACATGCCCTCATGCTGCTTCTGGAAAAGTGCAAGGGAAATAAAGTGAGGGTAAAAGAAAAAAGGGAAGATGCAATGAGAATAGGGTTGTTGTGTTCTTTTGGGCAGACCCATAGTGGGAGGAGGCTCAGGAAAGGCACGGAAAGTGTTACCTCCGCAGGCAGAGAAACACAGAGAGCAGGACACCATCAGGACGGCATTCCAGAGCTAACCAGAACCACCTGCAGTCACAGAGCCTCACCTAAAAACTAAAATAGAATCTCATTACATGAACCCCATTGAAAGTAATTTTTTATTAATTTTTTAGTTGTGTTTGGGGTTTTTTTAAATCAAGATTTCATTTGCATCAGAAAACAGTTCACATTGTTGCTAAAAGGTACTGGCACCTTACAAGAGACCAACAAGTTGCCACAAACAAAAGCAAAACTAGGCTCCTTGTAAAATCATGCTAAGAGAAACACAAAAGGCCAACAACAAGCAGCCAAGCAAAAAGTTAGTGCCATAACAATCAAATCAAAAGCAGACATTTTAAGATAGAATTTAAGGTAGGAATTTTCATAAGAGATACCAATTTATCACTGCATTCAATATCATCACAGCTGACATCACCTGTAGTTCTTCCCACACAATTTTTGCTATTCTGAACTCATCCACTTGAAATCCTTGTCTTAAATTAATAAACAGATAAAAGTCACTGTGTTCCTGTTAAGCAAAAGAGAACAGCATCCAAGAGATAATCCACATCTGCTCCCAGCATAAACTAATACAGTAGGCTAATGGCAACTTCCACCATAACCAAACATTAACAGGCTTCTATGATAAAAATTTAGAAAGCATATTTTCCCTCCCTTTCTCTTTAAAGATCTCTGTTCAGAGAGCTTGGCAAAGATAGAGCACATATACTCTATCAATAATGTAACACAGCTGTTAATCTGAATCACTGGATCTCAATTTGCCCATAATCCTTCCACTGGTAAGTATTTTCAGAGCTTCACAAAAGACCTCATGCTCAATATTTTGTGGGCTTTTGCCTCAAACTTTACGGTGAAGAGAAGAAAGTGGTGAAATATGTTTACCTTATTCATTGGATAATAAAATCAGTGAGATTCTTGTTTCCCCAGCTGCAGAATAAAATTGAAAGTTTAAAAAAAACTAAAGAACCAAAGTTCAAAACTAATATAATAAAAAAGGGGGGTTACTGGCATCAAATGCTTGTATGGGAAAAACTCTGTAAATATTTTTGCCATTAATATCAACAAAAACTAAGTGAGATATCTTACCTTCTAGTTATTATCTGGACCATTGAGTCAAAGGAGGATTATTCTTTTGCTACCTGTTGTACTATCCTACTAATCTAGTTTTAAACACTACAGCTGAGAGCAGAGGGGTCTGCAAAGCTAATTGGAGCCTGTCACCACAGATTTCTGCATAAGCAGCCTTTTGGACATTAATTAAACTGCTAGTTACAAGTTAATGCATAGATTAATTAGGGTAGCTATCAGTTCTTTTATGCTCCCTTGGCCTGTAAGACCTGTCTTTTCAAACATTTTTGATTAAACACCAAACAATTTGTAAAACCAGAAACTGTCTTAAAAATATCCTGCAGTATTTTTACAGTCTGCAGCACTACATTCAAGAACATGCTTGGCTCATGTGTCTTATTTTCCCTCTTTTTCCTTCTAAAATGGATTAACAAGTGTCAAGGCTGCAGGTAACTTATGACTGATCCAACACATGTGAAAAGCCAGAGTCTCAGTTCAGGTGAATGAGCAGTAAATTCCCCTGGGTGAGTATCAGCTACTCTGGAATCTGTTCATCAGTCCAAGAAGCCTGCATGTTCCCACCAAATTCTGTTTTCAATGACATTTGTGCCTTGGGAATGTTTTACGATGGGATCCATTCATTTCACACAATGAAAATGGGGAGCTCTGAAAAAAAAGAAGAAGAATAAAATGGGGTAAACTCTGCAAAGATCATCAATGAAGACAGGTTGTAAACATGTCAAAGCGGACTCAGCTGCCACCATGTGTCAGTTCCTGCTCCTCTACTTCCTCCCAACCCTGAGAAATGAGGCTGCAAAGTCACAGCAGGGAAAACATTCATCCACACATGAAATGCAGTAGGGAGTGGAATAACAATAACACAATTGGAAGAAATAACATTTTCAGAAGTTACTGCTGATTTAAGTTTGTTTCTTTTTTGGGCATTCAGCTAAGGATATTTTAAACAGCCAGGATCTCAGGGAGTGCTGGACACCCAAATATAAAAATGACACCCTGAAAAAGACCTCAAATTAATCATCTAACAATAGCAAAAGGATTAATTTAATGGTTGTTTTGTTGGGGTTTTTTCATACATACTGCTACTATAAATATTCTTCTTGATCCAGTCAAAACAAAACCCTAACATTGTGTATTCTCCTGGGTAGTTCTTCCTTCTACATCCCAAGCCCCAGCTAGTGATTCCATGGAGAGTGTAAAACCCTGAGTTGTCTCCTGAAGGACAAACTAATAGGCCTCCAGAATCACCCTGTGAAAAACACCAATCACTTGTTTTTAAAATTTTAAAATTTTAATAATAATAATAAAATGGTTACAAAAATAGCAATATAATTACAGTAATAATAATTTGGACAATTTGGATTAGGACAATACAAGACAATAAAAACAAAGAGTTAGGGACAATCCGGGTACCTTTTTCTGGGTAGCACAAGCCTGAAAAAGGACACACATTAACAGAGGATTAACCCTTAAAAGCAACAGCCTGTTGCATATTCATGCACTTCATACATGATGCATAAATTCCATTCAAACACAGGATTCTGGCTGGTCAGTGTCAGCTTCTTCCTCTGAATCCTGACGGCATCATCATGCCTGAGCAAGGCAGGAGAAGTTTGTTTCTTCTGATAAGGGAGCAATAAATTCTCTTTCTCTGAAAGATTTAGGTGTCCTGTGGCTGCTATCTTGCTACAAGTTCCTTCTTTAAAAAAAGTATCTTACACAGAATAGTTTCTATTTTAACATTATGTTATAACCTAAAACTATATTTAACACACTACTTAAGAAAATCTTAAAAATCAGCATTTCTTAAAAAGAAAATCAGCATAACTTTCTAACATAACACACATAATATTCATTGTAATAGTTGTGAAAAACCAATCATAAAATACACATTTTTCACAACCCTCCACAAGGACAAAGGAACCTTGTCCCCAGCCAACATCACTCCTGCTGTTTTTAAAATCTCAGTTCACCAAGTAGAGGTCCCAGCTGCTCACGTGCTTGGGGTTTTTAATTTTTAAAAAACAAAGAAAGGCACAACCTTTGTTCAATGGAAGTAACTCTCTTTGCAATATGGGTAATTAAGATCTGACTGCTAAGGAGTCTTTCACTGTGAATCACCACAGCCTGTTTGCAAGAAAACAGCTTTGGGAGATTTTACACTTCCCTTTCTAGAATCCACCTGGCCCAAGGGTAACTTTGTCCTTGCCTTCCTCCACAGGGAATCCTGAACAGATCATTCCCAGGGTCACTTTACTGGGAAGGTTTATGTAATAGCTCTGACATATGTCAGGTGGCAGGACGGGGACTTCCAGCTGCTGCAGTTCTTTCCCCTTTTCTCTGTCTTGAATTAAAACACATCATCCAGTAGAGGCATGAATTAGTTGTTCCAGAAGGAAGCTTTACTTCTCTCCTTTTCAAATGGTCTCAATCTAAATTACCTGATTTCTCTCCTCCCACCCATGCCCCTTCATGTCTAGCTGAGTTTACACAAGTGAAAACTTTTTAACACATCTGTTCTCCAAAAACTAACATATAGACAGAAGGACTGTTCCAGCACAGGATGTGGTATTTAAAACACAGCCACAACATGCCCAAGCAGCAAAGACTGCACCCCACCCTGTGACCACACACATCCTCGAGGGCTGCAGCACCTCCTCCATGGCAGGGAGGCACACTGGGAGCACGGAGGTGGTGAATTCCAAGAGCTCAGCCAGTTGCAGCAGGGCAGTGTCAGAGTTAAAATTTGGGTGTATAAAATATTTCTTGATTGACCTTTTCTAGGAAAGCAAAGACATTGACATTTTCTGAAAGACTTGGGACCGTGAGGCTTTAAGTAACTTTGATTTTATAAATTTCCAAGATGCCTTAAGAAGGGAACACATTTAAAAGCAGCCAGCTTTAAAAGCCACATTTAAAACCACCAGCTTTCTGATATTAACAAGTCAAGATTGTGCATCTGTGACATGGAACAGAAATCATGCCAAAACTCCATCCAGCAAGGGTAGGAAGAGAGCCTTGGAAAAAACATTTATCCAGTGTGAGCAAAGTGGCAACTTGTGCCCTAATCTTTCTGTCTTGGTGACAGTGACCAGTGAGCACAGAGACAATACACCTCTCACTCACACATCCCCTGGGATTCTGAGCTTTGGAGCTCAGTGAAGGCACAGATCTGGGCTGACAGTCACACAAAAGCTGTTGTGTAAATGCAGATTGGGATCAACGTTCAGGCTGTTGGATTGCTTCATCATGGAGAATTTGGGAATCGCATTTACATTAAAAAGATTCTATTTTGAAAGATTGATTTGTATCAATCAATCTGCTGGATGGAAGCAGTAGGCTGCAGGGACACCGTGCAGTTATGGACATTCCCAGGGAAGGGCTCATCCCACTGCACTCACCTGGAATGAAGGCAGTGGGCACCTGTGACAACCCAATCTTGGGCAAGGACTGCTCCTCCACAGATGTGCTCATCTGCAGTTTGCACTTAACTGGAATGTTCTGGCCTGCAGTGTGTAAAGGCCACGAGTAGGGCACAGCTTCTTCACCTCCAGTTATCCTACTGAAGAGGAACCTGGGCTGATTTGAAGGAATTCCACAAGCATCCTCTGAAACAGAAAGCACTGATGTTCCAAGAAGTCTTTAGAGGTTAGGTTAAGACTGGGAGAAGTAAAGAACATTCCAGTTAAGGGCAACCCCACAGCATTTCAAGCTCCACCTCCCCTTCTTTTGCTAAATCTTCTAATTTCCCACATTTAATAGGCTCTAAATGTTTAGACCACCATGAGGAGATGATGCTAGCAAAAACAGAGCTTCACCAAGATGAAAGCTACTATTTGCCTTCAGAAGTTTTAGCCTCAAACCTACAATGAACAGGGACTCATCCAGTTTTCTATAGACTACTAGAGGGGGAAAGGGCAGTTCTAAAATGCTGATTGTTATTTTCAATTACTCTGTAGTCTTTGCAATTGTTTTCACCAAGGGAAGTAGGTGTAATCTGATATACATGCTGAAATGTTATTGAACTGCTGCACATCACTTAGCAAGATGAAGGAAACGAGAAAAATTAGGTTCTGCTAAAGTCAAAGCATGGAAATGTCACAGTGCATATTTTTATTTCCTCAAAATGTCTTACTAAAAAAATCTGGACCAACTGCAACCATTAGGTTTTTATAGTCCAAAAGGTACTCTCTAGTCCCATGAAGGAAGCATAACTGAGATTGTCTTACCTGTCATAACCTTTATTTCTTCTTCAGCAACACTCATGTTTTCAAAATCTTCATCTTTAGTTGAATTCAAAATATTTAAATCTAGCAAATGAGGGTGGTCAGTGTGTTAGCAGGATGTCTTGAGTAATATTTGTATTATAGAATAACTTTTATTTTCTTATTTATTTTTGTAGAAGAAACAGATTTCTGCTATTACAGTATTAAAGTGCTATTTAAAATGTGCCACAAACACAACTCCCAGGTTTTAGCCAGATTCATTGTTTGTTTTCACCATTCATTAGTCCTTTGTTTAATGCCTGAAGAGGTTCACAATCCTTTTTTTTCACGGAAACAATTTTTTAGATGAGAATCTCCTAGAGCAAAATAATTCTGAACAGCCAATCCACTGAAAGAGCCCTTTGTGCTGCCCCAAGGAGGCATTTTCCCAAGTTTCTATTTAGTTTTCTGTTCTCTGTTAGATGAACAAAGGAGACTAGCTCTGAATCCTCCAAAGGTCTCTGTCTCATCAGGGAGGAAGACAACCAGCATCACAACAGAGGAGCTTGGAGCAGGTGCTGGTAGGGCAAATCCACAAGACTCAACTAAAAATGAGAAAGCAAAGGCTCACTAAAAAATTAACAGGTATTTTTTAATCCTTCTCTCTTTCAACAGTGGATGCACAATATTCTGTATATTCCAGCTTTCAGACAGGAAGGTAAAAAGTAACCATGACCAAGAGATAAGCAGGCTGAGGCTGAAGGACTGATCTATTCCTGGCAGCCTGTTCAGAAGTTTCCTCATCAGAACAAGGAGTCTCTGGCATCATTTCATAAGAGTCTATTGCAGCACCCACAAACTTCCTTACAAATGAAACACCCCAGCTATCTGATTTTCCCTAATCTAAGCACCAGCTTTAAGCAAGTGCTGAGAACAGTTTTCTGGGATAGGATTCCCTCTCATTCACTATAAGCCAAGTGGCAAAAATTTAAAAATTACATGAATGATGCTCTGGAGTGATGAACAGCTGGACTCTGACAAGAAGATGTCTTGGGTGCTTTGTGTGTGATCATTCCTATAGACCCAAATTACTGTGCTATGTATTTTCTTCACTGGAACCAGTTCAGAACTGCATTTCACACAGAATTTAAACATTCAAAAAATTGTTCACTGCACTGTGGCTTTGCCTCTGTAAGTTGAGAAGAATTAGCAATACCTGCAAGCATTTTTCAAGGTACTGAAACTAGTACTATAATATTAACTGAGACTCTACAAGCAAATTTACACTGGACAATAGGACCAGTGAAAGTCATAAAATAAACAGAACATCCCCAAAATTAAAAATCAAAAGTCAAAGCAATTTCCTCTTCCCACATCTTCATACACAGTCATGGCATCATAGGAGCAATCTTCACTCTCTTCTACTTCAAAAGACTGGTATGTAAGCTTAAAATTTAAAAATGAAAGAGTGAACCTTGTTGTGAAAGTCATATGGAAAAAATTCAAAGATCTACAGGGTCTTTATGATTGTGAGTGATTCCTGCAAGGTTTGGTTTCTGCGACATTCAGACCTCTCACAGGTGATACATAAATAATAAATTTCCTAGAAGAATCTGTCATGATGAAATTTAACCCATGAAATCCTATTTTGCCATAACCTAAAGGACAAATCCAAACCCTAAAGGACAAATCCAAACCTATCTATCTTTTTGAGATGGATAGTTATTCCTCTTTACTGCATTCAGCAGCATCATTCATGCTCATGTTGCTTGATATTGTTTGTCCTTAGCTGCATCATTTCTTGTTAACTCAGTGGTGCCCATTTCCATCATGTAGACCCAAAAAGGGTTCATGTTATACCTTAACTACATGGGCCTCTGGAGCACAGATAATCCACTGACAGCCTGCCAGGTTGCTGCAGTGCTCTGGGTAGTGCATACTCTCCAACACTCCTTCTTCAAGAAGGGACTCACAGCCAGCAGCTGGAAATGCAGGCAGACAAAAATGGAAAGGAAAGCACCAGCTGGAAGTGCTGCCAGAACAGGAACGTCAGGAGTTCTTTTAAGACTCAGCAGGTGGCACTTGGGCCCATCCTTATGGCTGGTGAACTGCTGTGCACAGAAGAACCAAACGCAATTCTCTAGGACATGTTTTAGCCTCAGCTGCCTCCCTCAAGGCCCCCCAATGAAAGCATCATCCACACAGAAATACCACAGGGGTTGCCTCTGGTTTGTTTTCTCTTGACATTTTTTTTCCAGGTCCCCACCCAAGAGTGTAGGCAGGCACATTACTTGGTTTAAAATTACCAGGAAGAATATCTGGTGTAAGAGCTTTGTAGGTAATGGAAAAACCAGTTCCATAATCCTCATCATTAGAAACAAATTTCAGCCTTATGCTATTGGAGCCAGTCAAAAGAGGTAATGAAAGATCTTCTCCACAGAATTTCCCTGAAACATAACATTAGAGAATGATCACTGTTTAAAGCCTTCAGTTACTTGAGAAAACTTGCATGTACTATTTTTAATACTTAGCTATAAAATTTTAGGATTAAAGGGAAATTTCCTATTCATCCTTCTACTTTCCTTATTAACCCATTGTCCCAAATAGATTCACACTATTAAAAATTGAAAATCATTGACACCAGAAATGTGATACAGTTCCCTACCAGGCATTTTCCAACCTCTTCACCTCCCACACTCTTTTTCTTTTATTTCAGATCCTATGTCTCAATGTATCAATCAAGCAAGTGAAACAATTAACCACCACCTCATTGGGTGCCCTTGCTGTTAGAATAAGGAGTGCTCTGACAGGTTATAGGTCTCAAAGGCCTTTTCCAACCTGAATGATTGTTTCAAAGAACAAGGCTACAAAAACTCACCCACAAGTCTGTCATCTTTTGAACAGACTGATAAAGAATCATAGTCACAGAACATTTCTGGCCAGAAAAAGGGGGAGAAACAAAGCCATATGTAATTCCCTTCTGGCACAAATAGAGTCCATACACACAATCTGGAATAAGAAATCAGTTCCCATTTATAAAAATGCAACTAAAACCTACACTTGTATGGGGAGTATTCTCTGGGGGAAGACTTTGTTTTCTCTGCTTACTGATGGTTTTGATAGAACTGTTCAGGCCTTCCAGGCAAATGTAATTCCCCTTCACTCTTGCAGAGTTTGCCATCCTGAGCACTACAAAACACTGTGAGTTAAATCATAATGGAAGGAATTAGGTTTGACACATATGCAATCAGCTGTTCCAACAAAAATCTCAAACATCTGGAGGATATTGTGAGACAGGGTTGCTGATCTGCACTTTGTTTCTCCAGGCAGACTGATGCTGTGTCTTCTCTTTTCTCTCTTTTATTTGGAATTCTGGTAAATCAGCTTTAAACCCCATCATGTGGGAGCAAGAATGAAGCCCTGCCAATGGACTCTCATTTTTTTGTAAATGGCAGTGCTTATTTTTTACCTTAAAGAAACTCTTGGCTACATGAAGATTTCATTAGAAATAATTTTCAGTGAGGAAAAATGGATACCCCAGAGCATAACAAAAGTGTTCATGGCAGCCCATATGAAATAATGCCCTTGGTTATGTTACAGCAGGAGACTTTTGCAACAGTTCAAGTTGCTGCTAAAAATTACTTTAATAAAGGAAGCAGAAGCTGTCCTATTTGGTCAAGTGTCAGCAGAGACACAACACCACAAAAATCATCTCCTCTTGCCCTCCCTTCTCATTGCAAGGTAAGCTGGTGAGAGCAGCATTTATCAACAACTCTGTAAACACAAACAAATTTAAGGAGTCAAGTACTTATTAGATTATTGCACCTGCAGCATTCTGGGAAGACCAATAAAAACTGGCAAAAATGTTTTCAAAACAGTTTCTTCCTTTATAAATTCCAACTATTTTGGGGAGGGCTTTTTATGCTTTAACACAAATAAAAGATATTGGGGGAAAGTAATGTACTCATCTGTGGAGATTTTCACTTTCAGATCTAATGAAGGAGGGATAGGGAAGGGGGAGGAAAAAGAAGAATAAATTCCTGCAGTTTCATATTCACAATTTACTTTTGTCCATGTGAAATGGCAATTTTGTACAGCTGGCACTGAGGCAACTCCCAGTGCTTTTTGGGGACACAGTGCCTACAACAAACTAGGGCTTGGAATCAAAACAAAATTGCAAGTTCAGGGAATTCTGACATTGGAATAAACATTTCTAGGGTAGCCACTACCAGGATGAACCATGCTTTGACAGGCCACCACTCAGTACTTTTTCAGAAGCTAAACCCTTTTCATTTTTCTCTGACATTATGGGGGTTCCTTCTTTGAATCATCAATTGAAGATGGCTTCTAATAGGAAATTTTATTTTTCTGCTCACAATTTTTTTTCTTCTCATTGACTGAACCTCATAAATAACCGTCCCTCAGTTTATTCAGTTCTCTGTGTAAGTTTTAACACAGTCTCCAAATCCCTTTAATGAAATTATCCCAAACTAGAAGAAGATGTCAATTCATTTTCTTATAACTCTCAGTAAAGTTCACCCCTGCCATTTATATCTCCAGCTCCATGATTTTGGCAGTGGTGCCTGATCGTCACACACTGTTCCCCAGCACAGAGGGAATTCATGGCCTTTTGGGAAGAGTGAACAAAAGCACAAAAGCACTTCTGAGTGTGACTTGTCCCTATGTTGTTGTCAAATGTCTGAGCCAACATGTTTTAGTTGAGAAAAATGACAAGTGATTTCAAAGAAGTGCACATGGAATCTCTGATACTTTCAACTGGTAAATTTCCACTTAAAAAAAGAAAAATTCTAATAAACATGCTAATAAACATGCTAGCTGCATAAAAGAAAAATTCTAATAAACATGCTAGTTGCATAAAAGGATCATTCTTAAAAAAAAAGGTCCAAGTAGGAAGTAAAGTACATTTACAATGCTCTCAATTTGGTTTTGACAGCTACCTGTCATTAACACTTCAAGGGACTGTGAAATGCAGTGCTTTGACAGGAAATCATGTAAGTGCTGTATCCTGAGACAAGATAAAATTAAATAAAATGTTCCCAGACAGAGGATTTGTCACAAGCGAGGGACGCATTACTGTGGGGACTTTATTACCAGCACAGCACCATGCTGAGGTCTGGGAATATTCCCAGGTATCCTCTGTTGTAATGTTTGTTCTTCTCACTCCCTCTCCAGCCATAGGCACATCCCATCCCCAGGAGATGACACCAGCAAGGCTCCAGGCCCCAGGCTTGCCTTGACACAAAAGGGGTCTCCCTGGAAAAAAGCCAGCAAAATCCCAGGAGCCAGAGCTTGTACAGCTGAGCAAGCCTTAAAGAGTTTGTTGGGGTCTCTTTTGTGCCTTACTGAAAACCTGCAACACAGGGGACAGTGAGTTTTAAAAGCGCTGTAAAGACACACACATTTTTGGGGTGTTTAGTCAGGATTGTCAAGAAGGGGAGAGACAGATTAATTCCCTCATGGGTTCATCTCTGATGTGCTTGAGCATGTAAAAAAGGAGTGAGGAACAATCACTTAACCTTTATCCCACTTCCTTTCCTTCCTGTAATCCAATTCTTTCCAACATTAATTAATTTATCAAGTGTTCTGAAGTTAGAAAGCCCTAAGCATTATTGCACTGGGGTACATTGCAAAATTGCTCTCAGGAACCTGTCCTACAACCCATACAATAATTAAAAAGGAATCATGTCATTAAGTTCATTGCCCCATAGGGGACTTTTGAAAGAATTCCCACATCCAAACCTCCCAGTTTACAGGGAATTTGTTTACTTTGTTTACAATGCCAGCTGTGGTTCTGCTGGAACAGGGATCCTGCACAAGGGGGGAGTTTTCCTCTGAAGCTCCAGGGCTGCTGGAGATGGGCCTGGGCTCCCTCTGGGAATGCAGGGCAGCAGAAAGCTGCTCCTCTGGGAATGCAGTGGGCAAAGGCTGCTGTGCTGTTCCCAAACCTCAGATTGTATCCAGGTAGGAATGCTTGGCCCCTCCCCTGGGCAGAGCATCTCCCCATGGGATGATGGAATTTGATCAGCCATGCAGGGACACTCAGTGACCATGGACAGAAGAGATCTCCTGGAGGGAGGGTTGGCTGTGGGAGAGATAAAGAAAAAACTGGCCCATGAACAGAACAGAACTGCCCCACCTCTGACAGATGGGGACAGAATACACACCCCCATTTCCAACCTAAGACACCAAATTTAATAGAGCATGGTTCTTCTACACACCATCACTGAAGTCTTTCCTGTAAAATACTGAAACACTCTCTGAAACTTATTTTTTTGAAGCAAAATGAACTTACCATGGCATGATTTGCTAGCAACTTACCCAGGCAGATCTACACATAGAAATAGAGCTCACATGGAGAGAATATCAGTTGCTATTTGTCCCAACAATTTATACAGCTTTTGAGGAGACAAAACTTTATTTCCTGCACACTTTATATTTAGCCAATATTACAGACCTGAGAAACACACCACAAGTTTATAATGTTGTTGGCAGCATGCTCAGTGTTTTATTTTTTGGCCAAGGGCTCCCCAGTAACTATCACCCCCCAATCCACCATCAGTGACCACCCCAACAATCATTTATGTGCTTATTCAATTCTAGTTTTTCATTCTTTCTCCTGCCAGTCAAAGGATAACAAACCCCAGCTTTTATTCTGAATATGCAGTTTTATAAGAATTGAATATAAACCCTGTCCCAGAAACTTTGAATTGCAGTTGTTTTGGGTTTTTTTTCTGGTATAGATGCAGAATTTATTATGAGTGCAGTTTTCCTACTAGTCCTGAAGAAATCTCCATTTCTGCCACTTCTGAAACTCATATCAGCAACATGATTCCAGCACTTTTTAAAGTGCTGGAAAACTTTTTAAAGCTGCTTTCCTTCTGGGATTCATTTGTATTTTACAGGGACAAAACAAACCCTCCAGACCCCCAAAACAGTTCCATGTACAGCAGAGCTCTGCACTCGTCCAGCACAACAGGAGGGCATAAAAACAAGAATAAACAATCCCTGTGGTTATGAGTGATGCTCATGGGCCACTGATGTGGAATAGAAGATGGAGAAACAATGGGCAGATGGAGAAACAATCCAAAACACATTCCAATTTCTCATAGAGAGGCATCACTTTCTGTGCAGCACCAAAGGGGTCAGAGAGAAAAATCAGAGGGGCACATTCTGTCCAGGCTGCACTTACCTGGGATGGCAGAACAGAAGGGGAGGCTTTCTTACCTGTTATTCTGTGTTCTCCTCTTCTGCTACCTATTCATAGTTCTGCTGAAGCTGTTGCCTTTACCCTCTGTGCAGACAGAGGCACCTCCCACTGGGGAGCTGCTCTTACCCCTAAAGCTGGCAGCTTTGGCCGACAGCTCTGGCAGCACCACTCCTGACCAGCACCACCCTGGCCACTGTTATAGTTGAGACAGAGACAATACAAAGCAACACACTCCATTTTCAGAAGGCTTCAAACCTGTTTTTATTATGACATGCATGCTTTTTATACTTTCTTACAAAACTCCTTAGTTTACACTTCAGTCATGAGAGAAAAACAAAGCGCTCATTGGAGTAGGCAGTTGCAGGTTTCTCTTATTTATCCTTCTTTCTTTCTTGGTTTCTATATCAATGACCTTGGTAGGAAATTCTTTCAGGGGTTAACATGGATCCTCTTATCAAACTTCTCTCTGGCTCACAGCAGTCACTGTAAAACCTCTTCCACAATTCCCTTTTTTTTGTATTTTAGCCACAAACACAACTGCTAAGTACTTTGCAGGGCCCTTGCAAAAATCCAAGGAGACAGGGGAGACACAAAACAATTATAACAACCAGCAGCAAAATTAACAACCCAGCTTCCAACAGACCTCAGGCAAAGGTCAGACCCACCACACCACCACTGATCTCCAGCCACACCTTTGCACTGAATCCCAATGCAGAGTTGGCTCTGTGTCCCAAAGCTTTGTAGTGAGAAAGACAAAGCTATGAAATCACTAACGGTCCCAAACTGTTATAGCAGGCAGAGCCTGTTCCTGCTGGCCCCCAAATAATGGCATTAATCAATGTTAGTCAGCCTGGGCTGTCCCTTCTTTTGCTGTGCATTGTGAGAATGAAATGCTTGTAAACCAAAGTGCTGTAGAAATGTGCACAGCTGCTCCTTGCTGTGAGGCCGTTAAAAAACAATCATGCACACACCCAATAAGTTTAAGACCAAGAGAAAGTGAAGAATATTTAGAAGGTTCATCATCAAAGCCCTCCAATTGCTTTTTCTGCTGGCTTTGAGGGGTTTTTAGAGGAGTCCAGGGCTGGTGGGAGGGAACACAGACTGCACTGGGTCAGTGGAACACTGAGATGGCCCAACTGCAGGATAGAGGAAGTTTAATTCTTGCTAGAAAAGTCTCTTCATGTTGCTGCTCCTGTCTGAGGAGGAAATCCAGATCCAGAAAATGTATTCACCCAGTGACAATGTAAAGTTTAAGAGACAAGGGAACAAGGAGTGAAGGGTACAATGAGCAGCAAATGCTGGTTAGTAATTGACCTCTTGTGACGGTGTTCACAGGGGTTCTTGGATGAGGGAAGAGAGACGAGGATCTGACTCCATGTTTCAGAAGGCTTGATTTATTATTTTATTATATATATTACATTAAAACTATACTAAAAGAATAGAAGAAAGGATTTCATCAGAAGGCTAGCTAAGAATAGAATAGCAAAGAATGATAACAAAGGTTTGTGGCTCTCTCCGAGCCAGCTGGGCTGTGATTGGCCATTAATTACAAACATCCAACATGGGCCAATCACAGATGCACCTGTTGCATTCCACAGCAGCAGATAATCATTGTTTACATTTTGTTCCTGAGGCCTCTCAGCTTCTCAGGAGGAAAAATCCTAAGGAAAGGATTTTCCATAAAAGATGTCTGCAACAACCTCTTAGAAGATCAGTAGAAAAAACTGATCTTCAAGATCAAATGGGATTGGTCTTTTGGCTTTTTTTTTTTTTTTTTTTTTGTGCTTTGGTTTTTTAAATACAATGAGCTGTGCTTTCGAGGGTCACTGGTCACATCCTAACAGTTTGCAAGGTCACTGCAGGAAAACTGGAAAATCTCTAAGCTCAATAAAATTCATGGTATCATATTCTAAACAAAATATACTCTCTTGAAATATGAAACTTCATAAATCTTATAATTCATGTACTACTCTTCTGAATCCAATAATTCTTAACTGAAAGAAGATTAGTTTTAACTCGGACTTAACGTATTTATGTTTGGATAGTTGGGCAGGAATTTTGATTTTCCAACAAACTTATTTTTCATCAGTTTTAACCTATTGTAATTCCAATGACTCCAAGCTTGCTGTAACAACAAGGAAAAAATCAAATCTAATTCTCAAGGTAAGCCTATTATTGCCTACCTTTTCCCCAAAAGTTTATGAGAGATCCTGAATGGCACCAGCAAAACACTCACCTCAGTTTTATTATGCTTTAAAAGCCACCATCCACCCTCCCATTGAGAGAGGGGAGCTTGGCATTTACCTTTTTTTAGTCAGAGCCTTTATGTTACTTCAAAGGCCAATAAATTGAAAAGCTGAGGGAATTAAGGATTCTCAGATCTTAAAATCACAACATTAAGTACCTATGCAATTCCCAACCATGTTTTTCCCCTCTCCCTCTGTACAAATAAAGTCACATCTCAAAGCCAAACCATGCTACACCTTCACTTGGGATTCATGGGTTTGGGATTCATGTACTTTTTTAGACCATCAGAGATCACTGATAAATATACCTGACTTACAAAAGACAAACTACAAGATTTCAGCTCCATATTCCCACATGAATCCTAGTTAATCTGGTCTTCTGGTTTAGGATTATATCTAAATTTGGGTAAAAATTGCAAAAAAACACCTACAAACTAAAACTTTACAATGCTCACTGTGCTATCAATTAGTTTTCCAGAAAAAAATCATATCCACGATTTTTCAGTCATCCAACCAAGCCTTTTTTGGGGAGCAGATTGTTTGTCTGAAAATTTAGAAAATAAGTATTTATAAAAAGGTCAGAGACAAAAGTTAAAAGCCAGTATCATTTTGAACCTATGTAATTCCATCTATTAATAAAAACAGTGCTGACAGGTGCCTGTTTCTCTACCAAACTGACAGCCAAACACCAGAAGGCAAATCCTTCCCAAGTGATCAAAAATAACTGATGAGGGTTCTGGCAGTGCTTGCTGATCCCTGATGGCTTTAAACCACCCCAAAATTAGGCTGCTACCAAGAGGGCGGCTGTGCCCCACCTCCCATGGAAGTGCTGCTGCCATTCCCCTCGTGCCAGTCTCAGCTCTGGCCAGGCTCTGTGGAGACCTGAGCTTGTTTTATGGAGCTGGGTTTGCTCTTATAGCTGGATTGGTTTCCTGACCAAAGCTTTTTATCAAAAATTGAATGCCAGTGTCAATGCAAAGGAATGAATACATGCTCTAGACATAACCCAGCCCGTTCCTTCCATATGTAGCCCCCACTTACAATTTAAAGAGTCAAAATCCATCATGAAATTCAGCTGGGCTGTTCTAGACACAGCCCTGTCCTCAGAGCAGATCCAGAATTTTCAGTTCTGTTCCAAGCTTTGTGGCAAGCTCATGCTCCAAGCTCCTGCCTAGTTCTGGTGAATAAAGGTGCCTCAGCCTTCAAGTATCCTGAAATGTTGAGGTACCACCTATCACACTCCAGGTACGAAGAAATCCCTTTTCTTCAGGGGTGAAGATCCCCAAAGAGCAGAGTAGCTTTGTAGTAGCTTTGTTAGCTTTCAGCAGCACAGCAGGAGTGAAAAGTCATACAGTAACTCTGGAGTTTAAAGAGGAAAAGTTGCTCCCAGCCCTGCACAGCTTAGGTCTGCTCCACACCCTCCCAAGTATTAGTGAGCCTCACAGTTCAGGTTCCCCTGGATGCAGAGGACTTAGTGAGACTTTGAACACTTCCTCCCTCACTGTTCCCATTGCAGCCCACCCCAAAACTGAAAGGGATGAGGGTTCTTGCCTCAGAGATACCCTGAGTTGTGTTTTATTGCCTCCAATCAACTCCAGCAAGGATTCGGAGGGAGCAGTAAAACTGAAGAGTTGGATCTTGATAATGTTTTCACTTCAGCTCTCTGCACCCTCCTAAATTCTCCAGCTGGCCCATCAGGGCACAGAACAAAGTGCACAATGGCAAGAATGCACAAAGGAGCGCTTGGGGCAAGAAGAACCCACAGAAACCCCCCAAGAAGCTGTTTCCCAGAACATCTGTTCTTTAATTCAGGATTTTGGATATACATCAAGATCTATTTGAGCCTCCTGTGCAATAAAAAATGAGCACAATTTTAACACAAAAGGCATTTTTTCAGCCTGCAATGCTTAATAATTGATGTACCAGCCAAAAGTCACTGGTGACCAGGAATTAAAAGAAACAGCAGCTGCTGGCCTTTTCGCACTTTTCACTGCAGCTCCGTTTTTCCATTTTCCAGTAGATGAGAATTATAGATACAGGTTCAGTTACTTACATCTGTGATGAGCAATTTTCCTTTTTGTAGGTAAGTCTCCTCCCAGACAGAAATTTTACCTTTCAAAGCAAACAAGACCAAAACCAAACAAGGCCAAGAAATGCAGAAATACTTCAGGCTATGGAGAGCACAATGCATTGATATCAGCCAAAGCTTCCCTTGGGTGGAGTCCAGCCTTAAACTGATTAATTAGGAAAGGACAAATGAAGGAAGAGAGAGGGGACAAAATTGTGCTTAGCTTAAATATTTGCCCTGAATATCTCAAAATGCTTTGTAAGGATAGATCAATACTAAAGCTTTTCAGCTAATATTTGGCATATGGATTAAACAAATTAGCAGCAGTCAGAAGCAAGTTGGTCACTTAACTCCCAGCTTAGTTCCCTTGGGAATGTTCTGTGAAATGCAAAGTCTTAATAGCACAGTGGCAGCTGCTCAAGGTAAATAGAAATAAAAAATAAAAAATCCAGTACATCACCTGATTTTTGGAGAGCACAGTGGATACATTTCAATGCTTTTAGCATGGTAAAGATTTACAGTATTACAGTGCTTACAGAATGTGCTCAAAATACAGAAATATGCCATCTCAGGCAGGCGGCAGTGAGATGAATCCTTACAGATTTCTTCAGAAACATACTAAAAATAAAAATAAAATAAAATAAAAATGCTGTCACTCATGTCTGCACTTCACATCACATCAAGACTAGGAGGTGAAAGAAGAGAACTGCAGGTGGCTCCAGGTGTCCCTGCCCAGCCTGGTTCACATCTCCCTGCCTTGCTGGGAGATGGAGCTTGAGCCCAAAGAGTAGGAAGAGATGAATGACCTCTCAAACTGGCTTTAAAGTCCAGGAGAAGGAAGTCCAGGAGTAATCCATGTATTTGCTCCTGATCAGCCAAGTGAGAGCAGCTTCCCCTGTTACAGGAGTCTTGCCCAGGGTCTG